TACACATATAGATTTACATATTATATAAATAAGTATGTATGAATGTTTATTAGGTTAGAGCAAAACACTTTTTTTTATTATAAAAAGAGAAAATTAAAAAAAAAATTTTTTTTAACATCTAGAGGCGGCTTTAAAGTAAATTTCGAGTTAAAAGCTTTTTTGGACAAAAAATAATAATTTTTGGCTTAAACTCTTCACATTTGTATAAAAATTACCGAATTTGACGGTTTTTGACTCAAAATTTATTTTAACGCTTAAGGAAAGCATGTTGTCGTTTAAGACTTTTTTAAAACTCCAATAATAACCACAGCTTCTAGAACACTTATCAAAAAATTTTTACGAAATAAAAATTTTAGCTCGAACTTTACTTTAAAAGTCAGTGGGCCGCCTCTAGATGTGAAAAAATTTTTTTTTCGCTCCACCTTAATGTTTATACATATAAAAAAAATAGTGCACTCAATGTGTAGACATTTTCATAATAAGCCATAAAAATGGTTTAGTGCACACGATCGCGTTAAACGGTAGTGGTTGTCAGTTATTTTCACGGTTAATTTACCCACTCGCTACAAAGTGGCATCACTTGAGAGCCACTACGAGTAATGCGTAATTGAAGTGCACTTAAGCTAATTCACTTATGATAGCGATAATTATACTCACGCATGTATGGTTGGTCGTTGATATCAAACGGATGTGTTTCTCATGAATAAATAAGATGTTTCTTGAAGACAGTTTTTATATGGAAAACTTGACTTCTAATATACAAATAGAATAGATTTACTTCTGTATGTACATATATACCTATCTACTTAAATAAGGTAATATTCAATGTATTGGAATTGTCCGTCTGTTTGGGCAGACGATAACTTGAGTAAAAATTTAGCTACCTTTATACAGCTTGAAAAACTTATTCTTTGGCATTTGAGAATCATGGCATTGCAGATGGGAGAAATTTCATTACTGCCACGCCCACTAAATGCTGTTAACCGAATAATTATGTAGTACTACGATTAACTCACAAATTCATTATATTTGGCATAAAGAATCGTAGTAGTGAGTTTTTAAATACTGAAGGTGATTTAATACATATCTCAAAAACTATTGTACTATAATATTGAAACCCGACATAATGGAAATATATTTTTTTTAGCATTTCATGATGCGATGTGAAAATGATTAAAATCCAATAATAACCACGTCCGCAATTATACCTATTATTACCTACAAGAGATTGGAAACTATCCAACGAAAAAGCTGGTGAAGGTGAAATCTCATATCTCAGCTATCGTAAAATTTTTCGGTTACGTTTTGAAAATAATTAAAATTGAACAATTAGGACGTCTATCTTCCATATGACACAATTTTAAATTTCATCAGATTCCTTCAAAGTCGAGTATAATAAAATAGGTAAATTAAACATTGAATAGATCCTTTTAGTTGCGACAACTTTCAACTAAAAAATTGGATTCCAACTTTTCAAGCTTGTTTGACTTTATACCGAAAATATTAGTAAATTTTGCACGAATTCTTAAGGAAATTGAGTGTGCAACTTTCCCGATAATTAAGAGATTTAATGCTAAAAATGGTTAAAGTCGGTTCAGTACTACTCGCGATCTCCATATAACAAATATTATGCTTTTCGCGATTTCGTCTGACTTTATACCATAAATATCAGTCATTGTGTGAGTTATTCTAATAAAATTGAGTAAACTTTTGTTTAGCACCAATATATTATATAAAAAAGTGATTTCTACCTTCCGACTTTTGTTTTGGCACAAGTTGGTCAAATCCATTTCGCTGACTTCCACTTCTGACCCTCAAGCGAATGTCATAAAGTCAGATTGGTAGAAAGGAAGAAGAAACTAAAATGAAAATCATAATTGTCCAAATTGAAATTCACTTTCGATTTCCGTTAATTTCAAGGTTAATCGCGTGCATTAATTCCGAGGTAAGGTAGAGCGCGGCGATGATAGGTGAAGCGCTACGAGAATCATATGAGCGCACGTAATTCATAATGGCAGTGACTTTGCGAACGATGGTCCGATTTTGAGGGAAATTTGGACATTCTGTCGTTAAAAGTAAGGCAAACATAACAGTGGAAATAAATGTTAAAAGCAACGGTGTGCGGCAAAAGGCGAAATTTACCCAAATAGTGGCCGTGACAAACCGTAAGTAACATTCGTATGAATGTAGTTAAATTAACTGTTAACGTGCCATGGATCATGTGTGTTGCATACAAATATACGCGTACAGTGTGTCGGTTTAACTATTTTGATGGCAAAATATCTACAAAGAATTTGTTGACGCTATTCAAGGAATTGTGTATATACAATTAAAAAAGTAATAAAAGCACTATAAAAATATATGCTTTACTGATTTTGATATGTAGTATTTTGTGTTAAATCATATTAACAGTGTGGCTCCTGCTATAGGAGCAAAAAGGTTTCAAGAATATAGAAAGTATAAATATAAAAATGCCGATTGCTGAGCTTTCTTTTTACAAAAATTTATCTGTGAAAGCAACACCAAAGCTTTCGAGCTGAACTCGATCCTAAGGAGCATAACCGCTTACTTCAGTAACACCATTTTTTGCTTCACAGATTTTAGACAAGTTTTATGATTATTTATGACTCAAATAACAAATTAACAAATTCCGATTGTTCAGTTTGCATGGCAGCTATATGCTATAGTCATCCGATCTGAACAGTTTTTGCTAGGATTGCCCCATTGCCTTACAAAATCATTCATGCTAAATTTCTTGAAAATATCACGTCACGTAAAAAAGCTTTCCATGCAAACCTTGACTCCGTTCGTACTGTTTGTATGCAGCTATATGCTATAGTGGTCCGATATCGGCGGTTTCGACAAATGAGCAGCTTCTTGGGCAGGAAAGCCCATGTGCTAGATTTCAAGTCGGACATGGCTACATCGACCCTATTTTATAAGGTCTCCGACGTTTCTCTCTAGGTGTTACAAACTTCGTAGCAAAAAGTGCAAGGTATAAAAAATGTATATTTGCAGAATTTCATGTACTTTCAAAATCGCCTTTTCATTTCTTAGAAGTCTGGATTCCCTTGTTCCCATAGCCACCTCCGAAAATAGGTGAGCAAGATATTTTTGCTTAATTCTTCAATTATTATTATTTCATCAAAAATCTTATAATGTGGATCATTATCTGACGGATATACATATCTAATTAATTTATCTCACATACTCTGAAGTTAACGTTTCGAGATAACGCTTTTATTTTTGTGAACCAATTATATTAAGCTAAAACATTGTTATAAATACGCTCATATTCCAAAACTAATTACAAGAACAACTTAAAATTTTTGGAGAATGTTATCTAATATATTTATATATGATATTTATATAAGAAAAAAAAAATTTTTTTATTTACACAAGTTGATATAAAACTTTAACAGAAGTTTACCCTACATGTCCGACCAGTTTCTTTAAATAGCTCGTATGGTTTGATCGATTCGCTACTCTCTAAGGTCTGCAAACGAAGACAGTTTATAGGTTTTTACGCATAAATACTTGAAATTTTAATTTCTCTCTGTTTATATCCTCAGATTTTAGTGTTGAATAATAACTTTTTTACTCACTGTAATTTTTGCGTGACATATTTTGAAATTGATCCGTAAAAGCAGTTCTATTAAAAATGTGGACTAATTAGCTTTTGTTCCATTTAAATGATAGAAAATGGGGGATTGTATTTTTATTATTCCATCGGCTACTGCTTTTATTTTTTTAATGCTACCTTCCTTCCTATACTAATAACGTTTCTTGGCCCACTGTGTGACACTTGTTAGCGTGCTCGGCAGTTGCAATTGCGCTTGTGTCGGTAGTACGGCATCCGGCTACAGTTACAGTGTTAATATTGTTGGTGTTCTCGTCAATACAGCTTTGGCTACCACGCAGTTATTGTGGTATAGTTTTGTTGTTATTGTACGTAGGTACACTGTTTATGTTGGCCGATTGGCTGGTCGCTTGTAATACCAGACACTTACAAGAGAATTACGCCGGTCATGGTGGCAAGAGCACAGACGTAAAAACCAATAACAATTACCCAACAGACAGTGAAGGTACTGCAATGGGTTATGTGGCATGATCAAAACACAATACTATAGGTATGTACGTCAATTAACAATAAAACCTGACTTTGACCTTAACACTCCGCTGAGTGCTGCGTTGCCAAAAATGAGAAAAATTCGAACGATTGCCGCCAAATCGCTGAGTATAACATACATACACACATACATAGGTACGTTCACGTAAAAATTTATATTCCGCATTTATTTGGCTTACGGCAATCGGTTTGAAGTCGAAATAACTTTTGCCGTTATGCGGTTGAGTATTCAGATTTCTTTGATTGCAGCAATGAATTATTGCATGTTTTTTGTTGCCAACATGCTTTGTAAACATCAAAGATATTAAGAGGACAACTGCCGTAAATTATGTTGTCGAAATTACATACGGTGAAGGGACTGTGCTGCAGTTGCACATGGTTTCAACAGGTCAACCTCGACAATTCAGTCATCACTTATGATTCGCCTCACCAGTCAATTACCGACTGCACTTGTACGAAATTAACTAAATTATACACATTAAATTCAATTTGCATGTAATTATCGAATTGTGTCAGCTCCTTTGTCAGGCCCTTTTTATAATTTATGAAATCAGAATTGCTGATATGACGTAGTGGCAGCATGATTAGTGTAAAAAAATGCGAAAGAAGAAGACAAATCAGTAGCTGACACTAATGTGCTACAACAAATATTACTTGTATTACTTAACTGAAATACAATGTTGAGCTTTTTATTTCTGTTCGAAACTAGAATCCACTGAGCGGCAATCTCTATTTCTTGCTACAAACCACCTTATAGTAATTGTAGGTGTTGTGGTTTTAAGAACCATAAATTCTACGAATTTGTTCAGTAACTATTCGGTTTAATGTAATGTAAAAATCTAGAAGCGTTTTGTAAGTAATACCACTCTAATTATCAAATGAAGCTTAAAAAGCTCAGTGGCTTTTATTCAATTTGTTTTCTTTTTTCCCTAAAACTACTTAACAATTCCTTCCAGCGATAACAATGACCAAATTTGGCAGTTGCAATTGGCTTTCTAGATCACTCTAGTGATGATACGCAATTGGGGCGGCGAACTGCTTAACGAGACCGTGAGCTGGTGCGGCATAGGCTACAGGCGCAGCTTTCACCACAGTTTTTACATGTTCCAAAGGCACGCGGTTGACAACAGCGTTGAAACCGTTAACGGGATCGGCGGTGTATTGTACTACGCGCTTGAAACCATCAGCATCGACCAAGGAGTATTCGCCGCGGACGACATCACCATCGCGTTCCTCCGTTTGACTCTTGGAGTCGCCAGAGAGTGCGTCCTGCACATCATAACCGTATTTATATTGTGGATGTGGGTCATATTCGTCATCGTGCTTGGCAAGAACCGATTGAGCATAAGCTGGAGCTGGAGCAGCATAAGCCACTGGCGCCTTCACCACAGCGCTGGTAACTGGTGCGTGTTGGTACACTTCATGCACGGGCAGAACGCCAGCGCTGGCCAACGCGGCAAAAGCGAGAATTGCTACGAACTATGAATAAGGAATGATTATTCTTTTACAAATAATAATGGTTTAAAGCCAATTACCTTGTATGCCATTTGCAAAGATTTGGTGGTGTGTACACAATTGCTGCCTCGTAAGCTGTTAAGCTGCTGAATGATTTATTATTTAAATGTGTGCGGTTTATATAGCAATGGCGGTAAGCATTTAGTTACATACAATTTCTATTTTTTCGCATTTTTCTCTAATTTTCTGTGTTACTTGCCATTTTTTTTCGAAATATTCATATTTTCAAATACAACATTACTGGCAGTAATTGTTTTGCTTACTTCTCCATATGTATGTATAAGTTCAAATCGATTTCGTTTGTCATATGCATATTGGCACAGGAGCTATTTATCAACCCATTTCAAAGTAAGCAGGTAACGCTTTCAAAGCGAGATTAACACGATGCAACACGAAACGAGAAAAAAGCGAATATAATAAAAAAAATCCAGTACATTACCAACAATAAAACGTTTGTATCCAAGTAATTGAGGGAAATATATGTACAAGCGTAAAAAGTCAAATATCTCACGGCCATTGTACAATGTCCTACACATTAATACCTTTCACAAATTTTGTCACTTCGAAAGAAGCTCTGTAGATGTGATTTTATTGATATTTAGTTCCATGCAATGTAATGTAAGCGTGTTTCGTATATATAGTCTCCACTTTAATGATCCTAACATTACTAATTTTATACGGTTTTCGCTATAATACCCTTCACAGGTGTATTTCATATGGCAAGTATGTATATGTAAAACTAAACCGCAAAACTTAACCGGCCAACGGTTGCTGTCCAACGAAAAACCTGTTGATAGTTCTAACTAGCCACGTTGTTTATTATAAACAATCTTGAAGTCTAATTAAGGCACCTTACTCAAAGAAACTGATCCAAGCCGAATTTCGTGAAGATATATTGTCAAATAAAAGCTTTTCATACAAGCCCTTGATTACGAGCGTTCAGTATGTTCGGCAGTTATATCATATAGTGGTCCGATATCGGTGGTTTCAAAAAAATTAGCAGCTTCTTAGTGAGAAAAAGACGTAGGCAAAATTTCAGATCGATATCTCGAAAACTGAAAGTCTAATTCGCGTGAATACAGACAGACAGGTAGGCGGACGGATATGATATGGCTTAATCGACTCAGCTTGTCATGCTGATTCTTCATGTATCTTATAGGGTCTCCGACGTATCCTTCTGAGTGTTATAAACTCCATGGCAAACCCTGTTCAGGGTATCAAAATAACATATCAGAACTCGTTTGAATTCAGTCCCATCATTCAAATTGAAAATACGTCAAATTTTTTCCTCAAATTATATTAAGATCACATATTTTCGTACAGTAGCTAAATAATTAATCAAAGAGTAATACAACAATATTCTCAACATAGATTCCGACATTTTACAAACGGCTGTAGGTAAAAGCAGGTACTACTGGCGCTGCGGCGGCTAATGGAGCGGCTCTAACAAAGGGTGCAGCGGCAACCGGGGCTGCGACGACTGGAGCAGCCTTTACAATGGGAGCCGCAGCAACGACAGGGGCAACCAAGGGTTCACGACGCACGACGGCATTGAAACCGTTGATTGGATCGGCTGTGTAGGTGACAATGCGTCTGAAACCATCAGAATCGATCAGAGAGTATTCGCCACGCACTACATCGCCATCACGTTCCTCCACATGGCCTTTGGAATCGCCAGACAGCGTGTCTTGCACATCGTAACCGTATTTGTATTGTGGATGTGGGTCATATTCCTCGACAGCAACGGCGGCGGGTGCAACAGCAACGGGGGCAGCGCCGGGCACCACAACGCCGGCGTTCACAACAGCGAAAAGAGCGAGAGCGATCACCAACTAAAAAATTTTTGAAACACAAACACATATATTAATTTTTTTTCTTAACTGCGGGAGTTCTGTTACTTTTCACATTATTATTTTGATGCAATTTCACATTAGCAATTTTAATCAATTTATTTGAGCTTTATTAACAAACCTTGATGGCCATTTTTTGAATTATTTTGTTCTGTCTGTATTAAACAAATGTTAAACACTGAATGTGGTTCTTCGGTTCGACGGTCGGCATTTATACTCAGATCGTCTGTTTTGTCATTGTTGACAAATAATTGATATTCATTTTCGGCTTTACGGCTCACCATTTAAGTCACAGTCAAGTGCATGAGGAGCGTTTTAATAAATCGGTCGCATCAAGCATGCGTTCTTTGGTAAAGCATTTTAGCGTTGGCGATGGTGTGTAAATTGTGAAAACAAACAAAAAAAACCCACAAAATTGTGAAAAATATTATTCTAAATGTGTACAAAACTTGATTTCGATCAAACATCTAACCAAATTTATGAGCAAAATTTAGAAATTCAGTGTGAATGTGTTATAAATTAGAACGAATAGAAGTTGGATGAATGGAATGCATTTGCCGACAACACAGTGATCTCTACTTAAAGCTTAAACATTTTAGTAAACTTTTCTTCTCATACAGACATATATACTTATATGTAAGTAGATCATCTAGTCTAGGTGTCTTTTGAGGGTTCATGATTAATGTAGCAGCCGATGACAATTGTCATTTCTTTACCTGTGTTGGTGAATGGTCAAATTGGACGTAGGATCGATGGAGCTGATTTGGAATTTCAATCGATCGTAAACACATAGAGCTTGTAAGAGAGTTAATGAAAGGTTTGCTTTCTCTACTCGAAGTTGGTATAGCCCGAACTGGTTGATTTAAACAACCGTGCAATTCGAATCGATAAAATTTTTTTCTTAGATTGATACATCTTATTTTTATGTTTGTGAAAAATTTGCTCTCCATATGTCCATTAGTATGTGTTTGGCGGTATGGTAATTTTTATTCTATTTTTTGGATTCACGGCTACGAAATCATTAAAAACATTGCAGAAGTGTTTTGGGGAGACTACTTGATGGCAAACACAAGAATTTGAGTGGCACAAAGCATTTAGTGAAGCTTGTGAAGTCATCGGATACTTACCTCATACGAGTCGTTCATCCACCTCTGTTAATGACGATGGTATCAACAAGATAGTAGAGGATCTCTTATGGATCGATCCAACACAAGTTTCAGTGAAAGCAGCGAGTTATGAGAACCCCGGAGCCAAAGTTTTATATGCTTGTTCATATCAAACCTTATCGGATTCATTGACTCCTGTTCACGAAATTTTTAAGTAATATTTAAAAACGGAAATATAAAATGACCTCTTGAAAGAAGTTGTTTCAAAGAGAAAGATAAGGCTATTGTTGCTGAAAAATGCAAAGTATTTGACAAGAAATATCTCGGAACATACTGGAGATTTGTCGAACTGTTTAAGTTTGATTGAAATCTTATATTATATATTCTAATATTATTTATCACTGTCGCTTTCTTATCCCATTTCTTTTAATATAAGTGCAAATCGCTGTTAAACTATCAAAGAAATCGCGAAACTGATGATAAATAACCAAACAGATTATGGACTTACTTGAATTCGTATCTCCTTATCTGTAATGGAGTAATTGAAAAGACAATATCGGTGCCGAAATACATGAACTACTGTTTTAACAATTTTACCGTAAACCGATTTTACAAACTACATACGCTATATATACATTTCTCAGCATACAATAGCCATTAAGCAGAAAATCGTTAAGAAAGAAAACATGATTTGACAAGTGCAGTTATGACTCGTTACCACAGTTTCAATGCTACACTTTTCGACACACCTTCTGCAGCATTGCTCGCCATCATTTAAAAATGTATGTAAAATAAAAAATGTAATCATTCCAAAATAATTTTGATAAGTGTAACGCGTAAAGAGTTTGTATAAATAGACTATGTGGCTAAGTGGAGCAACATTATCAGATTTTCATTCATCTGAGCAACACCAGCTCCAAGTTCACCAGTCAACTAGTAAATTGAATCGAAATGGCATTCAAGGTAAGTTACATACGTTTCCTTAATGCTATAAACATTTATCTGACTCGTACGTTTATATAATATTCTTCTTGCCAGTTCGTCGCTGTATTTGCTCTTCTGGCTGTCGCTAGCGCTGGCTTACTACCAGCCGCTCAAGTGTACCATGCAGCACCCGCCACTCATGTCATTAAAGCCGCTCCAGTAGCGTACGCCGCACAGCCCGTGTTCGCCAAGGCCGATGAAGGGTACGACCCACATCCTCAGTATAAATACAGTTACGATGTGCAGGATGCAGTATCCGGTGATTCGAAGACCCAAGTAGAGGAGCGTGATGGTGATGTGGTTCGCGGCGAATATTCACTGATCGACGCTGATGGTTACAAACGAACTGTTCAATACACCTCGGATCCCGTAAATGGTTTCAATGCCGTGGTGAACCGCGAACCTTTGGTAAAATCAGCTGCTGTTGCCCCGCTTGCCCACTACGCTGCCCCTGCAGTGGTCAAAACTGTAGCTCCTGTCGCCCACTACGCCACCCCTGTCGCTCACGCCTACGCGGCTCCCGCTTATACCACCTACACTTCCGCCCACCACTAAGCGCCTGATTTCGTACTTTTCAGTTGATTGACTGTTTTTGTAGTATAATTAAAATTGTGATTTTCAAATAAAAAATATGTAATAATTAAAATAATTGTCTTTATATTTATTATTTTACAAGCATCCGAATTAGGAACTTTAACATTTACGACCTCATATGTAATTGGAAGCACCGTGTATTTTATAATTTTTTCTTTTATTATCGAAACTTCACTTTTCGCTTATAACTAATTAGTGAGTTTCCTCTTCTGCAAAAGGGATCAACTCAAAAAGTTGGAGTTGATCTGGAGTCTAACGAGCAACACAGTTATAATTATTGTATAGAGTCGTATACTGAACATGGTACAAAAAGTTAGATGCGACGTTTGTACAATAATACCCAGAAGAAAACGTAGGGGCCGTATAAAGTATTGTATGTGTATATGTGTATGTACATTATAAATGATCAGCGTTATGTTCTCTATCTATCTGTATATACGAGTACCAGCCCCTCAGGTTTTAAGATATCGATCTGCCGCATATGTTATTTTCTCCACAGTAAGCTGCTTATTTGTCAGAACCTATGTCGGACAGTATAGCATATTGCTGCCATACAAACGATCAAAACGATTTCCTTAAATACCAACATCAGAAAGTAGTATATTCCTCAAAGTAGATCAAAAGGAGGAAAATATACATATACTTGTATAATATATACGATATGTGGGGATTAGAATATCTAGACCGGATTCATATATTTTCGACTCTAACGAGAAATAAATTCCGGCTACTTGTCGCGTTCTACACTGGCCATTGCAGGCTCAGCTAGCAGTATATTGGAATTCATCAATGTATTGGGGCTAAGTGAGTCGTTGTGACTTAGGGGAGGGTACAATAGATCCTAGGTCGCGGTGCATACCTCATTTCCTTTCTATATTTTCGACATGAAACCAACCATAATATATACTAGACAAATCGTATATACTCGTATAATATTAATTTTTCCAAACTATATAAGAATAGATCCTCTTAAGGAAGGAACATTACACTCCAGAAAATTTATTCCCTGAAATTCGATAAGATTTTGCCTGATATACGAGTATACAACATGAATTAAGTGGAAGAACGTAAATTCTCACATGCCATACAAGGGTGTTTAAGCCAGATATGTAATACTTGGGCTATATGTTGTGATGCCAGTAAGCCGAGGATTTAGAATGGCGTTTTATTGGAAGTGTCTGAGATGTTGTTCTTTTTCCGTTTGCGGTGATCGTCAACGTGTAATTTAATTTCCGAACCATTATCATTGGATTTTTCCGAAGTATTTTATTGGATTTGGTTTTTAAATGATGGGAACACTACTCCCAGCCCTACCATCACCCAAATTTAATCTAGAGGTGATTGGGCAGCGCGGCACATATGACTAGATGACCTATATAGCTACTCAACGCCAACGTCGAGGTTGACAACTTGGAACTTGAACGATCAGACACTTTACTGTGCTTGCTCTCTCCCACGACCAAGCAAAATTGAGTTGTCCCCGCGCGTTTAACCAATTTTGCTCCTTCTTGAAATATGTCAAGACGTATTGAGAGTGTTACAGATCAGAATTTTTACATTAATCGAGTGTGAGTATGAACTTTTACAAAAAATAAGCAGAATACGAGCGCTACCTCGTAGAACACTACCTTTATATGAGTGGACTACACGATCTCACTTACTGCATGTTCCTGCCAAGGGTGGATGGAATACATAGCTTTATAATTTATTGTGGTTAACAAAATACTTATTTCAGCCTACTATACAACCAGTATAATATGAACAAATGGGAGAACAGTAAGAGAAAATCTAAAAAACGTGCTATAAAACCTGAGTACCGAAATTCTGTAGTATTTGGAGAATTTCCGTTTTTGTGAAGTTCTACTTTAATGTCAAACTTACATTTGGATGAAGGCGTATTCACACTCCCTATATACCATAGTTATTAATTTTGTATAGAGGATGCTGGGCTATTATAGTTTGGAGCAGGAATGAAATTTCTTCTGTTTCTGATCAATAGGTAGTGCTTTCTTCAGCCAAATAATTCATATCATTTTGATATTTGTTATTTTTTTAGGTTTAATGCATAATACTTGATATATAAAATTTTAGCTAACTACTTATCTATAATTTTTCTTTTTTTTACAATGGCAAGAGCAGAGCAAGCGAATCGGATTAAAAATGGCATTCCTGTCAATTAATGATGGTAGTAGTGTTGTTGTTCTTCATGATGAGGAGCCTCGTAGCTGGTGTGTGTGGCAACTTGGTGCTGAACTGGTAATGCAGCGTACTCGTGGGCAGCGTGGACGGGGGCATGATGATATTGCGCTGGAGCATGATGATACTGCACAGGCGCAGCAGCCAAAACTTTATGAGTTAGAGGTTCACGTTCTACGACAGCGTTGAAACCATTGATAGAGTCAGCGGTATATTTGACAGTGCGACGGAAACCATCAGCATCGTTCAACGAATATTCACCATGGACTACATCACCGTCGCGGCTTTCTGACTGGCTCTTGGAATCACCGGAGACAGCATCCTGAACATCATAGGCGAAATTGTACTGAGGATGAGGATCATCGGGATACTGTTCGTGGGCAGCGTGCTGCTTTTGTAACAAATGCACTGTCTGTGCAACTGGTGCATGAGCAATATGAGCTAGTTGTGCGGGTGCATGATACAAAGCGGCGGCCTCATGATGCTGATGATGCTCCAAGGGAATTCCATGTTGCTCCTGTACAGATATAATGCCGGCTTGAGCAGCACCGATCAATAATGCAACAGCGATATACTGAAATCAGAGATAAATTGCAAGTTGCTTGTTTAAATTGCATGACAAATTTAAATATTCCGAAAAATTCCTCTACATAGCAACCATAACTGCCCGCCACACATATGTAAGTTATGCACTCACCTTGAATGCCATTTCGTGAATGTGAGCGCTACAACTGCAAAAAATTACAAAATTTGCGTATTGGTTTGTCCTCCCACTCCGAAGTGTGTGACTTGAATACTAATGAGTTGGAGTCGAGTGTTAGTTTTATACAAAAATTGAACGCACCGCTTGCAGGCCACGAAATTTAATGGAATATGGAATACTCGCCGGTAAACGGTATAAACGATATTTCACGTGGTTACGCTATAATACCCTTGGTATTGTCTTTTATCTCTTTTGTCTAAGCCATTTATTATTTTATTATATTTTGTGTAAAAGTGCAAGTATTCGTCTTGCCTCACGCATACGAGTAAAAGCGAACGCGCGTCTGCATGATTTGCATTCTTCAATGGACACCAACACGATCGTTGGAAGCCCGTTGCTTTTTTAGAGTTTTTTCGTGTATGCTTATTGCCGCTGGCAGTAACACTGGTGGCGTAATAACCATAGCTGCCGGCCATACCACGCCCTTTCCACCAACGCACGATTGCCTTGTAGCTGGGATTTTTTGTTTTTGCTTTTAATTGTGAGCCCATATTGGTCGTGCGCTGGAAAATAAGCAAATGATTAAATAATAATAAAATGCTTATCCGCAATATATCTATGTACATGTATGTATGTATGTATGTACATATGTCAATGTGTCTATACTTTAAAGTTTGACTGCGAACTTCAAAAAATTGCACGGCACTTTCGATAGTCTGTTCGGTGCGCTCTTTGCGGTTTTCCGGCACTTTGCCCACCTCATTCACTAAGCGTCCTCCGCTCCACACCCGCTTAGACTTCTTCGCCTCTCAATCGTTTTCTTGCTTCAAGTTCAACAATGTAACTGTTTATCATTTGCTATTACCGCATAACGAGTTGTAGCTGATTTTTTGTTAAAACAATTAGCGAGCTTTTATTAAAGCTCACTTTTTTCCTACAACATTTTCATTTTATTTTTACAACGAAGCGTTGCTACTTATTTATTATTGTTGCTGTTGCTGCTTAAATCTAATTTGGCACTTTATTGATACGAAATGTTGTTGTTGTTATTTTTGAAAAACTTTATACATACTTGAACATGCATAACTTTTTATTAAGCGCTTAAATACCTGTGAAGTTTGCAACTCTTGACCCACTTAGAGCGATGAGCCACGCGGTATTGTTTGGCTGCTTCTATTTGCTTAGTTAGGAAAATATAGATAGGATTACTAGAGCTTTGTTTTAAGGATTCAAAAAGAGTTTCGAAACTGAAAGCTTTCGTTAAGTCGTTTAATCTAATTCTTCTAAGTCACCAACCGATTTCTTAATAAAAAGCTGATACTTGGTAAATAATATAGAAATACAAATTTTGAAAAAGCAAATATAATACATAGGTCTACAAAAGTTACTAGTATAATCTTCAAGTCATAATAAAACAAAAACCACACAAAATAACATGAACAAGTAAGGTAGTGCTAAGTTCGGGTGTAATCGAACATTTTATATTCTCGCAATTTCAAATGATAAAATCCGTGGGCATATTTTTAGGTGTTGGCAAAACTTTATATTAAACAATTTTGCGTATGGATTTAACATGCCACCGAATAATCGGAAGTGATTATATTAGAGATATGTATGAGGTTTAGCACAAGTTCTATATACATTTTTTCCACATTCTGATTAAGAAAGCCGCTTAGTGCCATTAAAATATCACTCATATTGACCAACATAAAATCGTGTACATTGGGCTTTCTGAAGGAATATCCGGATCGATTACATTAACTTTTGCTATTAATCAAATATACTCGAGAATATGCTTTCAAGCAATTTTATGAATATAAATCACACATTGACCAACATATTCGGTACACAGCTTGCCATAATAACGAAAATCATTATATGTAGTACGAGTTGGGGTAATTCGAGGACAAATTTCATAAATTTTCGGAATTAGCTATAGTCTATCTAAAATTATATATAACTTCTTTTGGATATGTCACATATTGACCGGTATATACGAAATATTAAAAATGATACCGATGTTGGGATTAAAAATTAGTTTTTCATTCTTTAATCCAAGCTGTTTGGGATTAAAAGTTTAAAATTGAAAATTATACTTTTTGATTTGAATGAACTTGAAAAAATTTCAATTCTAAAACAATATCTATTTTAATTCATAATCATATGCTTACGATTGAAGTTTTTATTTTTTATTTTTCATTCCGGTAGTTGAGATTAAAAATTTAAAAAAAATTTCTAATCCGGTTTTTGGGATTAAATTCTTAAACAATTATTTTTTTTATCTGGTGTGTGGAATTTTTTTTTTTTACTTTTTAATTTCGTATTTGGAATCAAACAAAAAAATTTTAATTAAATTATATTTTTAATGCATTATTTGCAACCCTGTATCTCTGGCATAAAAAATGTTTCACTTAAATCAAAAAAGTGTTTTCCTAACTACAGTCAGTGTCGAAGTTGTACAAGGTGCGTTCCAAAGTAAACAGTAAAAAAGTAACAGAGTAAACTCTAGTGACGCCATCTATATGTCGACTAGTGTGTTAGAATCTGCTATCCTTTATCGACTTCCAGTAAACCTTTCATCTCTTGGAAGTGAAGTTATTGCGTTTTAAGTGTCAGTATGTTTTTGTCATCGGTGCGAAAATGAGCTTCGAACAACATTAAATTTTTTTTTAAATTGGACATAAATGAGAAATGAGCCGAAACCCAAAAAATCGCGCCTGGAGAAGTCAAAAGTGAAGACAATGCTGATTTGTTTTAATGATTCCAAGGGTATTGTCCACAAAGAATTTGTTCCACCTGGCCAAAACGTTAATGGGGTATTCTACCTTGGAATTACCCGAATATCGCGAAGATGAAAGTTGGCGTTTGTTGCACGATAATGCGCCGTCTTATCGATCGACGCTTGTGGCCGATTATTTGACCAAAAATCACATTTTAACAATCAACCACTCCCCGTATTCACCTGATATGGCACCGTGCGACTTCTACCTTTTCGGAAAAATGCATTTGCCGATGAAAGGAAAGCGTTATGCAGACGTGGAGGCCATTCAAAAGGCTTGCACCGGCATACTGGCGGCCATACCGGGCAACGAGCTGAAACACTCGTTCGATATGCTTTTGGACCGTTCAAAAAACTGTATTAAAGTAGATGGAGACTGTTTTGAATAAAATTACTTGATTTTGCCGATAATACCATTTTTTCTGTCTTCTTTTTTTAAAAGTCCTGTTTACTTTGGAACGCTCCTTGTAAATTCAGAAACGATTCAGCATGGAATGGTTATCCACCGCATTTATATCGGATACAAATAGATTCATCGAGAATAAAAAGATGTAAAATACAGCTATAAATACTGATAATAGTACATACACTAAGACTTTTCATTATAATTGGGTTCGAGGCCGCATATTTCGAAAATCATTTAAATCATCCATTCGGTAACCATCATTTCGTACAAGTATAAACGCATCGACACATATTTTTTGCTTGGATTGGATTTTCGATGTTATCGTCATTAACAAAGTTGAATGGACAACTCGCATGAGTCAATAGCTTCACGACCTTCACTGAATGATTACCGCTACACAAAGTTTCGTGTTTTTCGGAGAAAGTTGGAACCCCCAAAAACACTTCTGCAATACTTTCAACGATTCCGTAACCGTGGTTCCATTGGGAAGCACACACTAAATTTGATGCAAGCATGTTGTTCAATTTCAGCTTCAATGGTAAAAATTGCCAGTAAACTTATCGCGATGATCTTGAATGATCAGTGAAAACTTTTCTCTGCAAATATTTCAAGCATGTTCGGTGAACTTTAATAGCCCTTTGAAATGGATTGCAGGTAGACTTATTTATAAGATATACATAAATCGGAGCAAGGTGAAAATAATAATTTATTTTTCTTAGTGTAGTATATATTCAAAAACATATATAAAACACACAAATACATGCAAACAAAATAACTAAAATAAATACAGATAGGTATATGAATAAGTACAAAAGTCAGTACTGATAATATTGATAATCAGGAGCATCGTAAACTACTGCTGGTTCGTGACCGTAGTACACAACTGGAGCAACTGGCGATAACTTCACCAAAGGCTCACGGTTTACGACCGCATTGAAACCATTATGTGGATTAGCGGTATAATGGACTGTGCGTTTGAAACCATCAGCATCTATCACAGAGTAGTGGCCTTGCAACACATCGCCATCACGCTCTTCGTATTGGCTCTTAGCATTACAGCTTACTCTGTCATCAACGCCATAAGAGAATTTATATTGTGGATGAGGATCATATTTCACCACTTGATTACTGTAGTGATGTAGTGGTTCTGGTACTAAACTTCGGCGCTAACAGTGCCCACAAGTACAAAATTCTATAACCAACTGAAATATTAAAACAAAATTATAAAGTAATTATTAAAATTTTCTTTTGCAATCCGAGTCACCATATACATATGTATACATAAGTACTATATATGCGTACGTTTATCATGATTTTTCTTTGGTTTAGTGTTACGCTCAGTAAAAATTCTTTAGCTACCTTAACGGTACACATTTAGAAAGGCTACTCAACGTGAAACAAAATGCACTTGATTCAGTACAGTTATTTTCATCAGCTGTCAAGGTTAAATGCTACTAATTTGGGGCTGACGGTTATTAAGCATTTAAGGTTGTACTTACAAGACAAACTATAAGAAGAATTACAAATATTTCGAATGGGAATTCGTCATTTGTCATAGCAACAATGTCCATTTATGTCACCACCGTAAGTTTGCTTAGTTGTGTTACAACTTTTGAGTAGACACAAGTACTTGTATAATCAAACTATGAGTAGATGTAATCAACTCTTTAGTTATTTTTGTACGAGCTTGTCGCCATGTACATAATTATTATTTGGAGAGACCTCAAAATGCTTTGTAATAGTCAGGAAATGTTAGGAAAAAGACTAATTTAGTTCAGCAACGAATGTTCCTTAATATTATCGAAGTCCTTAGGTTCGATTCTTAGAAAATTAGAAAAGCAATGACTGAATTCAGAGTTTATCTAGAGTTAAGAAATTATTGAGTGTAATTTTGAAATTGCTTACTATTTATCTGGCAGGGAAAGCTTGTGCACCTTACACTTCACCACTCCGCTAGAAATTTGTGGGAGCATTTCTTTCATTTGTAGATATATTAATGTTATTCGACGAACATAGAGTCTTTCAAGTATGAGATGTATTATATATGCAAGATTATGGGAATTGAGTTTATTTTATTGAGTGAGCCCTAACAATTAAGAATTTAATTTTTCTGACTCATGTATTGTTTTTATCTATTAGTTTAGCTATATTAAAGGCAGCCAGTATAGTTTCTTCGGCTTTTGCATAAAACATAATTTAAATCGATTATAAGGTACCGTGAACCAGTGTCTGTCAATTCCACTCCGCACACAAATTTCGTTTCATTTGTTAAAAAAGCTTCTCTATACGGCCGCTGGAATAAATTTTCTTATAGGTGATATGTAAATGAGAGTAACTAATTCAAATACCTGTTAGATTTGACAACTCCTTTACACATATTTTTGAGTTAAGTTTCCTTTTAGTCTTTGCATTCTAATCGGTCTTCAGTAGACCACAGATAATTAATTATAGTAACATAAACTGACAAGGAATTAAGAAAATGTAATACGAAATAGTGTTAACAAATAAAAAAGATTAAAATATAAAATATCATTAAAATCACTCATACTCTTTACAAAGGTGAGCTTATGCATATCAATTATTTATACACCTATTCATGCCTGTCTAATAACGCATTTTCAAGTACACAAAATTTGAACCACAAATGCAGTGTCCAGTTCTTAATTAATTTAAGCCGCTCCCTTTTGAAATTAATCAAAAAGAATTCAATAAAACACTGCATAAAGAGGAAGTCATGCGGCGGTGTGAATTGAATTGAAGCTTTAAGATTGATTTTGTTTTGAGTTTTTGAAAAAATTAAACTTTACTCACGTTATATCTTCCTCTTCCTAATTGCTTTAAGTCTCACCAACTTTGGTATGAAAATTCGATTCAAGTTGTTCAGCGTTTACAAATTATGTTCAATAATAGGCATATTAAAGCCAATTAAAAGTAAATAATTGAGGCTTAGATCATACTTACACATACCGACTTGAACTAAAAGATATTTCAACAACAAAAAAAACCAAAAAAAAAAAATATATACCAACAAGGCGGCTCTAAAGGTAATCTTATTACTGTTAATTGTTTTTCTAATTGCAAATAAAATACACATAATTAATATACAAGTAATTCACATATTATATTATAAAATATATATATATACATACATGTTTGTATCTACATATATCTTATTTACTTGACTACAGCGAACTCCATTCTTAACCAATTTTGATAGTAAATGCATTTTAAAGCGCTAGTACATATTTTTAGTACGTAGCAAGCCATATGTATAAGTATACATATACATATTTACAAAGGCATATAGCTATGCCCAACTTTAATTATTATTTGTTTATAGGCTTCACTGGGCGGTCTAAATACCTTTTTATGGTTTCGTGTGAAGATAAACTCATAATTAATAGAAAAACAATAAATTATGATCACTACATTATACATACATATGTACATATGTACATAGGTATAGGCTAAAATAGTGAAGCTGTCAGCAGTGCATTTCATTTATAACTTTGATTATTTCTGCTATTGTTCAAATGTACTTATTTTTTAATAAATCCTTTTTCACAGATAATAATTAGATGACAAAAGACAGTGTGTGGTACACATTACCCCACCTTTATGCATATAGGTATGTTTGCCCATGTTAATTATTAAATGGTGGTTCATATAGTGTTTTTTTAAAATTATTATCAGTAAAGCTATTTTCTAATAACTACTACGTAGTATGTTACGTAAAACCTTAAAAACACGTAAATGTATTTCAAAAAATCGAAACACTGAAAAGCCAATTGTAATACCTGTTTGCAGAGGCTAATTTTTGGTTTCAAATTAATTACCAATGTTATCAGTATCTTCAAATATTATGACAATTTCACTCTACCCGATAATTTCTTTTCATCTGTTAAAGAAGCTCCCCTATATAGCTGCTGGCACCTATATCTTCCGGAGGGATGTAGCTAATAGTAACGTTTGCAACTTATGGGGAGACCGGACAAATATTTGGGAGTTAGGTCCAATGGCTGATGCTGATATCACTCACTTATAACTCTGCACATAGTCTTTTGTGACACCAAAACTACTGTACTTAGATCTTATAAGTCGACAAAGCTCCTTGAAGATTATACATATCTGCTAAGGCGTTTTATTTCATTTCTTCGACATGTCTGAAAGTGTGGGCTTCGAGGTGTTTAACGTTGAATTGATCTCACAGAGGCGTGCAATCATGAAGAAAGTGTTGTTTATACATCGTCTTCTTCTAAACAACTTCTAAAGCTGTCATCCGATAAGAGTCGTAATCTTATCGCGTGGACACCCATAACGCGATGACCAGTTAAAACCCACACAACTAGGGAAATCTTATGAGTCTAAAGTATCTTGCGACAGCGTTAAAACTAATTTTGGTCTAGCTTAACCAACTATCAGTTGAGCTCTGCGATTTGTGATTCTTTTACGTAGATTTTTGAGTTGAATTTCTTTTTGTGTCTCTGCATTCTAATCGGTCAATTGTGGCGTGGAAACTCTATATTAGTAAATGATCTGTCAGTAGGGTGATGATAGTTCTCAGACTATAAATTAATGTAAACTAGCCTTCTGTCAGTGGGCTCGGCGTTCTGGGCAATATTTGCAGCTTTTTTTTCTTACAATTCACTACAAATAACCCAGGCACTCACGTAAAACACACCAGACGTTGTACTTTCATTTATGCCAAAAATTACTTTCCGAACCTAATATGTTTAAATTTTGTGTATTACTACGTACTAAATATGCAATATTATTGTTTTTTAGATGTCAGTGCCACAATGTTGCAATATTCTGTAAGATAATGCTCTAATAATGCCTTTTCATTTTCATCAATAATTTACTGAGATATTATTTTTCTTATATTCATTAATTTTTAAAAATAAATCAACATATCAACCACCCTGTATATCTAGCGTGTATTATTAGCAATACAAATATACGAATTTGGGGCATAAAATGAAGCGTTAAGAATTTCGAACCGGAAATATGCGAATCACGTTGCCTTACTGCACCGAAAACCTGTAAATTAATAAAACATGTGTACATATGTACACGATTATATTAATAAATACAATAGCGTAAAAACATATGTATATACATATATATTTATTCAATAAATAAAAATCTCACGAAATTCTCCAGTCGTCCATTCAATCGCATTTGTGTTTTAATGAGAACTTTTCGATTTCATTAGCCAAATATTGGTGGCATTAAGGCAGCAATTACTCCACCGCATGTTATCAACAGTGCTCCAACATATACACACATACATATGTACCATATATACATCTTTATATATATACATATATACAAATACATATGCATACGGTGTTAAATGACGAGCGAATTTTAGTACATATCTAACAATTAGGAAATTCCGTTTGCAAGAGGAATTTCAATGTCATGTTCGCGATACAATTTTCAACGCATTCGCTGGCAAATAGCCGGTCAATTTTTCAAACCTTTCAATGTAAACACCACAAACGTGATTTGCGCTAAGTCTGCGCAACGCGTTCATGCGTCGTATGGCGTTGAAATTGTAGCGAGCATAATCGGTTAATGCAGTTAGTGCTCCGTTTATTGACTGGTTTCGTTCGTAAGCGCTGGCAGACAAGTGCTTGGCGCCAACAGCTAAATCAAATGGCCAAAATTACTAAATGGCTCAATTAAATAACTCATGTGGGCAAAGAATATGCAAACACACAAATGCGAATGACTACCCTGCAGGAAAGTCTAGAGTTAAGCGATTGGTTAAGTTTATTTTTTTTAGCAGCTGTGGTGAGTAGATTGATCTCATAGGAACGTTTGAGTCTTAGTTATTTAAATATTGTCCCAAGCGGTAAATTAATTGTTCACTCATCATTACTTTGGCATGATTTAAATAAACTAATAATTTCATTAAAACAACCGTATCATGAAAATAGTAAAGCATGACGAAATTCGTTAAATTTTTGCATCGAGATCTATATGTTTATCGTTACGGTTAGCAGTGGTATAAACGTATTTTCACATTTCAATACGAAAATAAAAATTTGGAAAATATTTAACTTCTTAACCCATGAGATTATTGCAATTGCAACTGCAAGACTAATTTTCGAACAACGTGTTCTATCGTCTAAAATAAGAAAAGTTTTTAAATGTGAGGGCAACTCATCATGTAATATATAATGCCCATAAACACTAAAATTTTTGATGCCGTTTTGCCTAGGAATTAGTGTGCTTTCATTTTTTGTATGGTTGCCAAATATCTTATATATAATTAAGGCTCCCGTTGATTTTCAAATATTATGACTTTTAAGTAAACTATAAATATGTGAATAATATTTAAAACATAAGACTTGTGATTAAAATATAAAATAACAAGGAAACCCAAAAAAATGTAATCATATATATAGTCACAAAAATCTGTTCAATTCAAAGCAACAATAAAGCTTAATGCTACACCTGCCCATTATCTTGAAAAATTTTGAAATATTATTAAATATTAACATTTTGTTTTCATTATTCCTATTGGGTTTGGAAATCGGCAAGCACGCGTTTGGTATACAAACAACACGAACTTGTAATGACGTTCGTTGATGATTCGGTAAAATGTTTTACCCGGCAAGGCTTATTCCGGCTTTTGTCTCGTAAGTCACGCTGTTATCACGGATATAGTTCATACATTTAAAGAACTGTGAACGACCATATGGTCAAGCTCTCGCTCAATGACGCGTTTAGAAATTTGTGTAATTGAATCGAAAAATGCCGCGCGGTTTTCAATTAACATATTTCCTCTTTCTGTCTGTAATTACATTTTGGTCTAGTCGAAAATAGACAGGTTGAAATTTCTACGCACTTCTAAGACATCTGTTCAAAGTTGGATTAACATAATTTAATAACAACTCTGTGCAACATATTATGTAAGTATTTGTATGCATATGTATGTGCACTTCAAATTGGCTTTTATGGGCGTTTTTAGAATTATCGTTTATTAATAAAAGTCGGAAAAAAAGATTGTTGTGTTAAGTTGTTACAATTAAGGAAATTATGTTGTCTTAATGTTTATTATACAAGTGCCAAGATTTGACATGTGGTCACAAAACTTTGCGAAACCGCGATTTTGCAGCTTTTGGTTGAAGTCTTATTAAGAGATTATAAAGTCATTGTAGAATCGTGCTTTTCAGTTATAAGCTGACACATGAAATGCAGTACTTACATTTAACTGTTGTGGACAAATAGATAATCCCAATTACTGATGGTAGAGACTTGACAAGGAAAGAATTTGTAATTTTTTAACTTTAAGTGTTCTTTCAAATATCTGCACTATTTTCATAAACCTGTCAAATATTAATGTTAAGCATTAATCTATTCCATATAAACTATGTACAAATCGGATATCAAATGCATGCCTTGATGTGTATTTTGTTATATACCAATAATACCTATAATCCTAAAAATGGCCTCTGGATCTCATTTTGGTAAGTGGTTAGTGAAAGTCATTCATGCAATTCACTTTGATATAAGACGGAGCTTGAATTGATAAAAATATTGCTTTATTAAAATAAATACATTTGTTTTCTCTACAATACTCAAAATAACAACACATAATACTTTTATAGTTCCTCAAGGTTTATTATCGGAATAAATAGCAATACTGAATATATACATTAAGCACAATTCACTAATATAAGGATATCATGTCATATTTCTGGTCACTCTAATGGCAATGAATTAATGATGGTACTGGACAGCAGGAGATGAGTAAGCAGCATAATGTGCGGCTGGTGCTGAGTAATGAGCCGCAGGGGCGGCATAGTGAGCCACTGGAGCCGCATAATGAGCTACGGGGGCAACGGTCTTGACCACTGTAGGGGCTGAGTAGTGAGCGACTGGAGAGGAGTAGTGAGCGACTGGAGAGGAGTAATGAGCAACTGGAGCGGAGTAGTGCGCAACTGGAGCAGCGTAATGGGTAACTGGGGCAACTGTCTTTACAACTGGAGCCACGGCAACAGTTTTTACAAGAGGTTCACGGCTCACGACGGCATTGAAACCATTCACGTCATCCGAAGTGTATTGAACTGTGCGTTTGTAACCATCAGCATCAATGAGGGAGTATTCACCATGAACCACATCACCATCGCGTTCCTCCACTTGACTCTTGGAATCACCGGTCAGTTTGTCCTCAACGCCATAAGAGTATTTGTATTGAGGATGATGATCGTATTCTTCCGATTTAACAACGACCTTTTGAGCTAAAGCCACAGGTGCTGAGTGCACGGCGACGGCTGGTGCGGCGTGGTATACTGGGGCAACTGGTACATAGCCAGCGCTGGCAACGGCGACGAAGGCGAGTGCGAATACAAACTGAAAAAAAAACAAATATAATTAATAAAGAATTAGAGCAGCCAATTTTAATGGTAACCGAGCCTCAAATTACCTTGAATGCCATTTTCGAAAATATGTTTAATAGTGCTTGAACTCAGGTAGGTTCTTTGTGGCTGAGACAGCTAGAAGTGAATGATATGAAGTATCCGTCAGCGGACCAATTTATAGTCCACACCTGTTCAGCTAATCATTGAAAATTTCTTTTGTTCAAATCTGGTTTATTCACCGCCCAATTTTCTGTACTAAAACAATAAGAAACTGGCACAATATGCGTATGTATCCGTTTAATCTGCTCAACATTATAAAATAAATGAAAGTTAATCGTTTATTCGGAAAGGTAAGGCCACACACGCATTTGATGAAATACTCTTATTCACATGTGTGTGTATTTTGACATGTGAGCACTCCTTTCAGGTATATAATTTAATAATTTTACATAGTAACAATTTTTGAAAACTATGAAAATGTGACACTTTACATTTCAACTTTAGTATATTTCCATATGTATCGAAAAATATGTACAGTCTAAATAAATTGTATATTTTTTGCTTATAATGCACTTACTGCTACTTATACAGTGCTGCTACTGAAACATTGAACATGTTTGAAACAAATATCCAAACGAGTTTGTAGAAAACCTTTCTCATGCCGTAACGACAATAACAGCGAATAAGGAATAACAGAAGATAAGGAAAGGTAATCTCACTTTTTATTCGAGGTGTTTACCTTAAAGTTCAACGGATATACGTCGAAATTCTATCGTAGGGCGGAGGGAAAGACTTTAATCGGGTTTATATGCATAGGTTATCATAAATTTAAATAACTTGATGCGATTCAAACTGGAGTCCTTGGGAAAGTATGCCGGTTCATAACTGAACCGAAACTGATTAATATTAGGCGAGATATTATAAAATGTATTTTATTCTTTACGGATTATCCAAAGCTATTACGGAGTTTTTTGATATATTTATATAGCTTATGAGATATTTACGTTAAATCAACAAATTATGACAACAGACGTCCTCATTTGTGGGATCTAATCAAATCAAGTCTGATTTTGGTTTTTCTTTTTGTATTTAACTAGTACGAGCATACTTCATTTCACAGAAATTTTAATTGGTTAATGGGGGCCGTGCAAACACAGGTGATTGAGGAAACGTGACATTAACCGGGACTGATTTTTTAAATATGTATAATACATATACGACCAAGGACTGTCAGCAGTATTTCTATAAAATATTTTTATTGTAATAATAAATAGTTGAACACGATACCTACATACTTGTATATTAAGTTTACCACGAAGTTTGTAATGCCCAAAAAGAAATGTTACATACCCTATAAAGTAATATGTACATATAACATACATATGTATACAAGATCAGAGCGAACTGAGTCGATTTAGCCGTGTCTATTTGTCTGTTCGGCTATATACACCTGAACTAGTGCCTGAGTTTGTGAGATATCGATCAGAAATTGCTGCTGCTTATTTTTCGGAACCGCCGATATCGGCCTACTATAGGATAAAGCTGTTATAAAAACTGACCGATCAAAACCAAGTTCTTGTATGGACAACTTTTTTATTTGAAAAACTATCTTTAAAACATAACAAGTAATTCTAAACATATAATATACATATACATACATACTATTGTATATATTACTGAAGTTTAATTTCAATTCATTGATCTCTTAAAAATTAAGCCGATAACTAGTCGTGTAAACATCACCAATTTCATTTAATCTCCTGGTTTCATGTTAGCAGTTCACAGTGAGAAAAGTAATGTGTGGTTTTAAAGGTTTTAAGAAGTGAGTGCAAAAACACCCTGTAAAAAATTTAATGCGTAAATCAACAAAACACTCACATATGAGTATTTGCGAAATTTCTAGAAATGACATCGAGCTGTCTAAAGAAAACGTTATAAACGTAAAATTGTATTACATAGATGATAAAAAAAGCTTTTCATTTGAATTTATTTAACAATTTAATAATGAGCTTGTTACCGCTCACATTTAAAATAAATTTCATATCTCACAAGATACTTGCCTGATTTGAATTCAGTTCATGACAAATTTATGGCTTTTTCTTCTTCTTCAAGAGTTTCAAAGTGAGTTTTGTGACATCTCGTCTTATATGTGAGTTGTTTAGATGATATTAACGATGGCATGTGGGCGGCAAAAGTATACACTTTCTCCTAGTCCCCATATATCGATTATAAGGATCTCTATCCTTACAATTTACTTTATAACGAATATATTGGTTTGAATGTGAAATATCCCATTAAAATAGATTGCACTTAGTATAATGTGATTTGGTCCCAAAACTGTATGGTAAAAGTACCATAGTTCACCTAACGAGTGCACTGGATTCAAAATTATGCTCATTAGCGACTGTTGAATTTCCTGGAAACAAATTTTATAATAAATTTTTGAGTTTTTATGTTTTGAATTTGGTCCACATTTCATATAATAAAGTTCAATTGTATACCAAAACGTGTTAATCATATCTCGTAATACGAAACAAAGTTTTTAATAAGTTTTTAATTTTCATTTAATATCGGAAAAATCAAGATTTTCATAAATAAAAATAACATCTGATAAAACAGTCTAAATAATGGTATATATACTTTCGCGAATTCTTTAATGGTGGTATTTGACTACAGCAGGAGCGGCATAGGATGTGTAATGGGCGGCTGGAGCAGCATAGTGAGCCACTGGCGCAACTGTCTTTACAAGAGGTTCACGGTTCACGACGGCGTTAAAACCATTGATGGGATCAGCAGAGTATTGCACGGTACGTTTGTAACCATCAGCGTCAATGAGGGAGTATTCACCATGAACCACATCACCATCACGTTCCTCCATTTGACTCTTGGAATCACCGGTGAGTTTGTCCTCAACGCCATAAGAGAATTTGTATTGAGGATGGGGATCGTATTCCTCCGATTTCACAACAACCTTTTGAGCAACGGCCACAGGTGCTGAGTGCACGGCGACGGCTGGTGTGGCGTGGTATACGGGGGCAACTGGTACAAAGCCTGCGTTAGCAACGGCGACGAAAGCGAATGCGAATACAAACTGAAAAGATACAAATTGATTGTGTTAAAATTGACAAACAATTAGATCTGATTATTTTAGTCCTAAGCGAGTGTCAATTTACCTTGAATGCCATTTTTGGAAATTTTTTGTTTAGTTTCTTAGGGTTCTCTCTTATAGCGAACGCAAGTAGTGAATGATACCAAATATTAGTTCGCAAATCATTTTATACCGTACACCAATTCAGATATTGGACAAGAGTTACTTTTTCACTTGCCTAATATAATTGAATATTAAACATTGTACATACAAATATGTGTTATATATATAAATATATAAAAGCATAATGACGTATATGAGCGTATTAACTTTTTCACTCACACTCTTTAAAATGGTACAATTAATTGAATAGCAGTAGTATATACTACAATAAAAAGTCTTGGTCGGCTATAAGTAAAAACAAGAAGATAGTTTAAAATGTTAGTTATTTGAATATGTATGAGAAGGTCGTCTAGCTTTGATTGAAGAATGTCCGATAAAAAAAAATATATTTGAAAGTGATTGTAACCCCTAAGAATGGTATCATTGCAGTCCTATCCAAAAAAAAAGATTATGGAACTAGTCAACAAATTGAAGTATGGTATTATTTATTGAATTCAGAAAATTTATATTTATCACTTTACAATTATTGATAAAAGTATCTAATAACTAGTATTATAACAAGAAAAAACATTAACATCGATTGCACCGAAGCTATCATATCCTTCACAAATACAAAAGATTCCATACAAGATTTTCATACGTCAGTTTGTGTTGTAGCTATATGCTTTAGTGGTCCGATATCGACGAGCTTTGACCAGCTTCTTGAGGAAAAAAAAGGACGTGCGCAAAATTTCAGATCGATGACTAAAAAAAGGGAGGGCTAATTCGCGTATTCACAAACATATGAACGGAAAGACAGACGGACACGGCCAAATCGACTCAGTTCGTCAAGCTGATCATTTATAAGTATATATACACACGTATATACAAATATATTTTATAGTTTTTCCGACACTTAATTCTGGGTGCTACAAACGTCGTGGCAAACTTAATAAACTCCCTTCAGTGTATAAAACTTTATTGATGCTTTGAAATTCGATGACGGGTGTTAGAATCGGGGCATTGTCATAGAGGAAGAGCATTTCGTTTCGGCGAATGATTTTTCTGTAATTCGGACTACTTCAGACTATCTATATAGATCACACGTTCAGAATTCCAGAAAACTGCGGTTTTCGCCTTCTGCTTCTGATCTGAGGTTCCGCGTGTGAAGTCCACTGTTTCGAGTGATACTTAGCGTCTCTTAATCTATGGGCTGCACCAGTGGATTCATGTTTCGTCGACGATTACGAAACGATGCAGAAACCAGGTTACGCTTGCTGCCAAAAGCGAAGAGTCAAGAGTCTTCGTTTTTCTGACAGCCGTCTGACAGCAGACATCTGACAACCGCCGTCTGTTAACTGCCTTATGACTTAATTTTTGTAATTTTTGTTAGACAGTATTTTACTGCTACAACGCATGATTCCGTTTCATAAGTATCATTTGTTCATCTTCAGCTAGATAACCTTCCTTAGAAATCTGTGGGAGGTACTTTCGAATGTTCTTTGACTAGAAACGAACTTGGAAGAGCTTATCGTGGTCTTCTTGGCCTACTCATACCAATTAAGTGCCACTACCATAAACTTGACTTGACTTGACTCGGACTTATCTCACTAAATCCCCATGATCGTCCACAGTACATTGGTACTCAAACCAATGAATGTAATTTGTAATGTATACAAACATCCCAAAAAATTTTTTAATAACTTAGGTATATTTCTATTGATATTATAAATTTTATTAACTCAACTGTTTCATCAACATAAATAAGTACATATTATATATATACTCGTAGGTACAAGAACAATCATTTATACAATCACTGATTTTAATCGCTATTAAGTAATTTTACATAGCCTTTATAGGTTTTAGTGATGATATTTAACCACTGTGGGTGCGGCATATGATGCGTAATGGGCAGCTGGAGCGGCGTAGTGAGCCACTGGGGCAGCATAATGAGCTACGGGAGCAACGGTCTTGACCACTGTAGGCGCTGAGTAGTGAGCGACTGGAGCGGAGTAATGAGCAACTGGAGCGGCATAGTGTGCAACTGGAGCAGCGTAATGGGCAACTGGTGCAACAGATTTAACAAAAGGTTCACGGTTCACGACGGCGTTAAAACCATTGATGGGATCAGCAGAGTATTGAACAGTGCGTTTGTAACCATCAGAGTCAATTAGAGAGTATTCACCATGAACCACATCACCATCACGTTCCTCTACTTGACTCTTGGAATCACCGGTGAGTTTGTCATCAACACCATAAGAGAATTTGTATTCAGGATGAGGATCGTATTCCTCCGATTTCACTACGACCTTTTGAGCAACGGCCACAGGTGCTGAGTGCACGGCGACAGCTGGTGCGGCGTGGTATACGGGCGCAACTGGTACATAACCAGCGCTGGCTACGGCGACGAAGGCAAGTGCGAATACAAGCTGGAAAGATTAAAGTATAATTTATTATTAGAAGAAATCATTAAGTGGAATATTTCGATCCTTGTACCTTGAATGCCATATTTTGAAAATGTGGTCTCGTAAAGAATAAAGTAGTTCTGTATTGCAGTGATAACACGAAGTGAATGATATAAAATATGAATTTGCGGCCAATTTTATACTATTCAACTGTTAAGGAATTTCCTTAATAATCAGCAAAATTAATAAAAAAATTTTGCATTTCGACATTTAAATGTATGATATGTGAATATACTGAAATACGCAGAATAGTGAGTGAGACACATGTTGAAATTATACCTTGACAGGTCAGTTCACTCTATTAGCGCGCTTAAAAACAAAAAGTGAGCGTTCACTTGTTGCAACAATAAGCTTATCAAAGCGGTTTTGCCAAAAAGAGTATGGTGCCATTGCTGGGGTGCGCGAGCATGCGTAATCAACATATTTGTTCACATACTTATCTTTTGTATGATAGTTCATATATGTATATGTATGTAGTCTTGTATACATAGAAGTGGCAATAAGCGTTTGTGTTGTATTAAAGGCGTACCAATTAAAAATAAGACAAGGACAATTTCAGGAACTTTGTGTGATTTTATTTATTTAATTCAATAATTGAAGATTTTATGCTGAAGTTTTTGAGTCAGTACAATTTTGTAAGCATGGATACTAATATATTTACTTGTACGACGAACTCGCCACATTGATATTTTTTTCCAGAAATTCTTGAAAATGTTATATCTTGCAATTGCATTTAAAATCATTGTAGGCGTGATATTTTAAGACGAAGATCATATCATGCAAAGAATTTGAACATTTCTGAATATCTTCCCATCTATGATAGTGAACTATCGGTAGATCATGCTTTACTATCCAGGGAGTCCTATTAGAGATTGATATTAAAATGTTTGTAAAATTCTTAAGATCGAATGTACACAGCGCGCACTCGTCCTTTCTAAAAAATTTCGATGCACAGATATCCCTACTTGTTATGTTGCTTAAGCAGTCACTTAGTTAAGGCACTTTATAATTTTTCGCTTTACATTATTTTTGGGGGCGCGGCAGTAGTCAAATTTCGATTACTTGCAATAGTAAAATCCTCCTTTCAACAAGATATCTGAATTTTAATTCAAGCTAATGATTGCCCGGACAAACGGTCGTACAATAACAAGAAGGCTTTGAAAAAAGGGTCGACTGCTTGCACAAGAGCCGAAAGGAGAACACTGCTTATTAATTTTACATAAAACTTTACGTAAATCATCATATGTATGAAAAAGTTTTGTTTGAATTGCGGTATATACCTATAATCCCTTAACACGTAGACCACTGTGTCGCGGAGTTTACTTTTGGTGGTTCCTTCCTTGCTCCATATCGCTGAGGAATAGGTATGTAGGCGGGACGAAGTAGCTGTGGGGCAGTGAGTTTTTTCAAGAAATGATTAAAGTTCAGAGGATGGTTTGAGGAGAAGTTTTCTGTTAGGAGCTCTCTAAGTACAGTTTCAGGCTACTAGGCCATTGCAGTGTTTTTCAAGCAGAGGTGATATGAATATTGCCTTTTAGAAAGCTATAAAAGCATACTGAACTCTTTTCGTTTATTAAGATTCATCTTGTCGCAATTGTAGCTCTTATTGACCAGTAGGCAAGCCAAAAGTTGAATGGATTAATATCATGTGGAAGCATTTAGATACTTACTTTCTTCTCCACTGTCCAGCTTCCTCTCTAGACTGAGTATGAAACATCATAGTAGTTACATCTTCGGAGATCTAGGTGAATTCGATGGAATTGATATTAGCACCTCAACATATATGTGACAGGCTCTAAGCGCTGTGCAGATTTATAAGATATATGATCTTTATGATCTTTGTTATTACAAAGGACCGACTATTTCAGTTGTCCAAATTGGAACCTTCATGGGCAATTCCGCAAGAATTAGTATCTACACCTAACCTAACTTAAAATAAAATTTAATAAAATTACTAAAATGAATGAAGTAAGATATGGATTTATATTACACCATTTATCAACTTAACATTTTGATCGATATTAACATGCATACATAAATTAATAACTATAACAGATACATTCATATTTGTTTATTTCTATGGGTAATATTCGAAGTTTATACTAGTCTTTAGTGATGATATTTGACGACTGCTGGAGCGGCATAAGAAGTGTAATGGGCAGCTGAAGCGGCATAGTGAGCCACTGGGGCAACTGTCTTGACCACTGCGGGGGCTGAGTAGTGAGCGTAGGGAGCGGAGTAATGAGCAACTGGAGCGGAGTAGTGATCAACTGGAGCGGAGTAGTGCGCAACTGGAGCAGCGTAATGGGCAACTGGGGCAACAGTTTTAACAACTGGAGCCACGGCAACAGCTTTTACGAGAGGTTCACGGCTGACGACGGCATTGAAACCATTCACGTCATCCGAAGTGTACTGAACAGTGCGTTTGTAACCATCAGCGTCAATGAGGGAGTATTCACCATGAACCACGTCACCATCACGTTCCTCCACTTGACTTTTGGAATCACCGGTGAGTTTGTCATCAACGCCATAAGAGTATTTGTATTGAGGATGAGGATCGTATTCCTCCGATTTAACAACGACCTTTTGAGCTAAAGCCACAGGTGCTGCGTGCACAGCGACGGCTGGTGCGGCGTGGTATACTGGGGCAACTGGTACATAGCCAGCGCTGGCTACGGCGACGAAGGCGAGTCCGAATACAAACTGCAAAGACAAAAACTCAATTTAATGTTATTGGCAGCAATTGGATCAGGTTACTTTAATCTCAAACAGTCACTAAAATTACCTTGAATGCCATTTTTTAAAAGTGTGGTTAGTTCTTTATCACAACAAATGCAAGAAGTGAATGATAGAAAACGAGAGCTTGCCGTCTATTTTATACTACACCTGTTGGTATTTTTTTATTGGAGCGAAAATGGTATAATTGCGCCTTGGCAGGTCAGTTCACTTTATCAAAGCATTTAGTACGCTTGATACAAGTTTACAAAATTTCGCATACACAGGTAATGACGTGCGAAAATATTAAAAATATGAATATATGCTTGACTCATAATTAAATACATAACTACATACGAACATGTGTGGATGCATATAAATTGTTTGAAGTTTTTCAGTTTGATATTACTACAATTAGTAACGGTTAAATTTATAACAAATACTGAAGGGTAAAATTTGGACGGAACCATATATTTAAAAATAGCGCGATTTTAAAGAATTTAAGGAGTGTAAAGTATTTGAAATATTTAAGATATTAATGTAGTGAGCGATAGGGAACTGAAGAGAAGATTAACAAAAGATTATAATATGACAAGCGTTGTATTTCTTAATTTAAATCAATGAATAATCTCACATATTGATTGGAGATATGAAATTTTATGAAATTTATGGAGCGATTGGAATTGCTTCATTTGGTAAATCAAGCGTAGTGAAGATATTTTGAACACCTTGAAATAATGTGAGATAGCAGATGAGCTGAAAATCGTATAGCATTTGAAAGATTAATATATATTTTATACTCTCGGGCGAGCTCAAATAGTAGCTTTAAAGAATGTAATGTCCCAACTAAAAGTTGTCGTAATCGGAACACAACTGCTCAAGGCTCTTAGAGACCAAATATGTGTACCACACTGCATATGTCTCCTTTTTTACCGAAAATACTATAATACTACCCATAGTCCCCATATATATACTATATGTTACATGAATTTCATTGTTTTGGTGGCCTTTATACCGTATATATCGGTCAATATGTTAAATATCTTAGCAAAATTAAATGAAAATATAATATTGGATGTAATATAGTTTAAAGCAAAAAATATGTGAAATCAGTCCACAAATTACCTCAGCTACCATATACTATATAAAATGATTTCTTTATTCCATCAGACTTCATGCTGAATATGTCGGTCAATGTGTGAGTTATATTCATAAAATTGCGTAAAAAAATGTTTTGGAGTATAAGTATACACTTTAGTAATGCAATCGCTCTAGACCTGGTGGACATTTAATTTTTATAAAAAGATCACGGACACAAAGGAAAATATAGTAATAAAAGTAAGTGAGTATGTGACATATAATATAAATTAATAATTTACCAAATATGAATGTAATTCATTCACCGTTTCCTAGATTAATGAATGTTGATTTCTTACGAAATATTTTTATACCCTGAACAGGGTATGTGAAGGAGTTCCATGGGTCTCACGATCAATATTTTTTTATTATCTTATTTAATTCTATAACATCTCTAGAATATTGTCCCAAATGTTCAAGTTGATCCGAGAATATTCTTAAAGATACAGCCTTATAAATTTGCGCGCCTGAGGTCACTTAAAACTTTTAACGTTTCTCGAAACAGTGTCTTCAAAGTCGGTTGTCAAGATTTCCCGCGAACTACTCACACGATCTTATGAAATTATACACAGGTCTTCGAGATATAATATACAACGTCTCGTTCAATTACAAACATTAAAAAAACAAAAACATCGAGAAATTTTCACCGAAACTTTAATTTCTTTGTAAAAATGTCTGCCAAAAATACAATTTTTTAGTTTTTCCTTTGCCCAATACCTAGTTTATGGTCTTAATATAATCAGTTATTTTTTCTTGTTACTTCATATGATCCTCTAAGAAATTGTGTTGTCAATACGGAGGCACCTATTTTCTGAGGGCCTGTCGGAAATGACGTCGTAATGGCCGAGTTTTGAATATTTTTTTTCTGAAATTTTGACAAAAAATTTGCAATTTATGTATCTGTGTAAAAGTTTGAATAAAATATTTAATTTTTTATATGAAACAAAATTATTAAAAAAGGGCCGTTTTTTTGCTCGAGATAACCTATTGAGTTTGCCACAAAGTTTGTAGCACCAGAAAGACACATCGGAGACCATATAAAATATGATCAGTGTAACGAACTGAGTTGATTTAGCCATGTCCACCTGTCTGTATGACTGTATGTAAGCGAACATGTTTCTCAATTTTTGGAATATCGATTTAAAATTTTGCCCACGTGTTTTTCTCCCCAAGAAAATGCTCATTTGTGGTAATGGCCAACATCGGACCAACGTAGCATATAGCTGTCATACAAACTGAACGATCGAAATCAAGTTTTTGTATGAAAACTTTTTTATTTGATAAGATATCTTCATACGTATTGACTGATCAACTTCAAGTTTTTATACTTATATTACAAGTACTTGTATAACGTTTTATTTGTGAAGCGTATCATAGCTCCTGTGCTGCCGAAGCGTTAGCGTTTTTTCTTGTTTTTATAGTTTCATCCGTAACAGTAAATTCGGACGTTCACTGCGAATGTCGTCCATAGTATCAATTTGTTATTATTAGAAACTTTTGTTTCACTAACACATGAAACTTCTTTTAAGCCACTTTCAAAATATCTAAACTTGCATCACTCAAAATGCCATATCTCAGGAGTCAGTTGTCTAACTTTAATTTTGGTTGCACGCTCTCATACAAAAGATATGAAACTCCAGAAAGCGTAGTCTGTATCGCAATAAGATTAACAACTTTTTGGTAATCCAGCCTTCAACATTCCATATATGTCAATTCCAACTTTACTTAGTCTGGCAAAAATGGGTATTAAAATAGTTAATTTCGTTCAAAAAATGTGTCAATGTTTTTAAGTTTGAAGATTTGTTATAATAATTGAATTACTTTGACAGCAAACCCAGCGCCTCAAATAGAATATCCAGAAGATTTGTAGATTTTATTCTCAACTGGTAATGGTTATGGAGAAATCCAAATAACAACAGAGCTGTGGCTAAACAACATCAAAACATTTAGGCAAATTAGTTAAATTGTTTGATTAACAATGTATATGGAGTTCCGTGAGACTGTTGCAGAGTCTTAAAAGTTATTTTCCAATAATCAAGAGTGTATGGATGTATTGTTTTATAAAATCAAAGCCAATACTAACAGGACCTTTTTCTTGCGGGCGAATATCAAATATTAAGTTAATTATCGAAAGTTTTATGAACATTAATAACGTTAATCATTAGTACCATTCGAGTTTTACTTTACATTTCAGTTCCAGTTACTTTAAAAAATTTCAAAATAGAAATGAATCCCATTGAATGGTCAGTAACATCGACTTGAAAACCTGTAATGCTTATGAAAGTCTATATTTGTACATTAAAATATAATATATAAATAAAATAAGGAGTCCAAAGGAATGCCATCCTGGGAGTGAATATTGTTTTTTTTTACTAATCCACAGTTATAGCCTGAATGTAGCACAGCTCATATTTAAAACGATTTTGTTTTACTTTATAGTGTTTTTTTATTTAAATAGCTTTTTGGTGGTGAAATAAATGTCAATAAATATATGTATGTGCCGATATTGAATAACAAATGATAACGCATTCAATCATTTTAATTCGATTTTGTAACATTTCATAGGCTTTAATGATGGTATTTGATGAGTGCTGGAGCGGCGTAGTGAGCCACTGGGGCAGCATAATGAGCTAGAGGGGCAACAGTCTTGACCACTGCGGGGGCTGAGTAGTGAGCGTAGGGAGCGGAGTAATGAGCAACTGGAGCGGAGTAGTGATCAACTGGAGCGGAGTAGTGCGCAACTGGAGCAGCGTAATGGGCAACTGGGGCAACAGTTTTAACAACTGGAGCCACGGCAACAGCTTTTACGAGAGGTTCACGGCTGACGACGGCATTGAAACCATTTACGTCATCCGAAGTGTACTGAACAGTGCGTTTGTAACCATCAGCGTCAATGAGGGAGTATTCACCATGAACCACATCACCATCACGTGCCTCTACTTGACTCTTGGAATCACCGGTGAGTTTGTCATCAACACCATAAGAGAATTGGTATTGAGGATGAGGATCGTATTCCTCCGATTTAACAACGACCTTTTGAGCTAGGGCCACAGGTGCTGAGTGAACGACGGCGGCTGGTGCGGCGTGATATACGGGCGCAACTGGTACATAGCCTGCGCTAGCAACGGCGACGAAAGCGAGTGCGAATACAAACTGTAAAGAGAAATATTCAATTTATTGATATTGGATCAGGTTGGCAAAATTACCTTAATTGCCATATTTTTGAAACGTTGGTTCTTTATCACAGCGAATGCAAGAAGTGAATGATGCCAAATATGAATTGAAAAATCTTTTTATACTTTTTGCAATGCGTTCAGTTAGCTATGTAGTTATACCAATGAAAAAAGACTGTAGCTTTGATTATGCTTAACATAAACCGTGTTAATTGAGAGTTTTATGAACATTATTATATATCGTTCATATGTGCGTAAGTGTGTTCGTTGCATTTCGATGTAGCGGCATTCCTGCAGTGAAATAAATTAGTTATAAATGAATTTACAATTATTATCAAGTGTGAACTTAACACACCAACTTCTTCGATCTTCTATTCAATCTCACAGCTGGTTATTGTGTACGGTAATACCCTAAGCCACGTCTCATACAATATTGAATACCAAATTGATTTCAGTAAGAAATTCTAATAAAATTTACCCATATCATAACTGCAAATCTTTCGAGAACATTTTTACCACGAAAAAATAAAAATAATAGTTTCTTACTAAATTGTGCAAATTTTGCAAACCCTGAAACATTTTTTGGAAGTATGTCACTAAAATCATTTGCGAAAAAACTGTTTTCGTAGTTCCCTTTCAGTAGTTGATTAGTTGGCGCCAGAGTTGAATATTTACTAAAAACAAAATTTATGTATTGGAGCAAGGCTAGGCTTAAGCCAAGGAATGAAGAAAAGATAATCGTAGCAATGTCTAGGGCAGAATATCTGAGTATTAAAAAAAAGACTAATAAATCTAAATAATTTCCTGGTAAACTACAATAAATATTTTTTTTGTCGCAACTCTTTTAAAAAGTTTTCCTTCAGATTTTTAAGTCTCTCTATCAGAGTTGGAATTTTTTTAATTAAAAAGGTTTAGAATTAATAGTTAAAACTTTTTTTTTAGAATTAAGAATTGATGAATTATAAATTGTTCTAGAGTATTGACGATGATGGTGCTGCGCGAGCTCTAGTTCAATAAGTATCGAACTACGCTAGCATATGACTACCATAAAAGCTGAACGATCTGAATCAAATGTTTGTATGGAAAGTTGGTTTTAAACTTTTTGTTTTAATTTTTCAATTCGGTATTTGGGATCAAAAATTTCAAAATTATTTTGAAAAAAGATTTTCTGCATTACAAAATAAAAAACTGAAATGTCAATGTGTAGATAATTTTTTTTAATATAAGAACTGGCAAATTAATATTTGTGGATCAGTGATTTAATTATTTTTAGTTGTCAGCTTTAAATTCATTGTTTTCCGTTGATATTTAACTGTGTTAGATACCAAGATTACACTTTCCCGTATTCGTATTTAAAAGAGTGTTACATAGTACATATATACATATAAGGTATGTGCACATCTCCAGATTTACACATATATAGTTATGTATGTATAATTTTTATGGTTTTAGTTTCTTATTATTAGCTCTAAATAGTTTCGACGTATTGAAAAAGAGAGTATGTTAGCCCTTTGACTGAATGCAGCTGAGCGGGTTTTACCAAATGAAATATATTAGAGAGCAAAAAACTCACACCAAATTTTCAAGACCAAATTTAAGCGTTGTACTACTATAAAAGTGTCAGCGAATTGACGAATATGTATCATTCACTTCTTGTCTTCGCATTCGCAAAGAACTCAACTAATAATCACGATATGGCTTTCAAGGTAAGTTCAATCACAAAACCGTTAAGCAGCGGGACCTCAATACATGTATGTATATATGAAGTTAATAATCCAATTTGCTTTTGCAGTTTGTATTCGCACTCGCTTTCGTTGCCGTGGCCAGCGCTGGCTATGTACCAGTCGCCCCAGTATACCACACCGCACCAGCCGTCGCCGTTCACGCAGCACCTGTGGCCCTAGCTCAAAAGGTCGTTGTTAAATCGGAGGAATACGATCCTCATCCTCAATACCAATTCTCTTATGGCGTCGATGACAAACTCACCGGTGATTCCAAGAGTCAAGTGGAGGTACGTGATGGTGATGTGGTTCATGGTGAATACTCCCTCATTGACGCTGATGGTTACAAACGCACAGTTCAATATACTTCGGATGACGTGAATGGTTTCAACGCCGTCGTGAACCGTGAACCTCTCGTAAAATCTGTTGCCGTGGCTCCAGTTGTAAAGGCAGTTGCCCCAGTTGCCCACTACGCCGCACCAGTTGCTCATTACTCCGCTCCAGTCGCTCATTACTCCGCTCCAGTCGCTCACTACTCAGCCCCCGCAGTGGTCAAGACTGTTGCCCCCGTAGCTCATTATGCTGCCCCAGTGGCTCACTACGCCGCTCCAGCTGCCCATTACGCATCCTATGCCGTTCCTGCTGTAGTTAAGTACCATCATTAATCCAAAGAGAAGTGAAATATGATTTAAAATAGACGAGTACTTGACCGATCAACGAATTGTTAATAATTTTATTCTAATTTATTTCGACGTTAAATAAAAAATAATCAACACGTGCATATCTGTATACGTCTTTAACTAAAGGGTGCAAGTACACGTACAGGTCGAAAAATTATCGTGATTTCTTTTTTTTGTTCGAAAATGTTAATATTCTATATTTAGGGCAATGTTCAAAGAATGAAAAAAAAATATTTTTTACATTATGAAAAATCAATGATTAATTGACTTTTGGTGGTTCCCGTAAGCCAATCTTGAAATCATAAAATCAAAAATTTTTTCAATCGAGAGGGGTTTTTATTCTATGTACATAGACTACTATCTTCAAAATATTATATTAACATTAACCATGAAAATAGTTGGCTTTTTCGCCAACATTTTTTTATTATTTTCTCGCTAAAAAATGGTCTAAAAATATTTTTGCTTTATGCCATGTGTATATGTAGAGTAGTTTTTATTTTGTACTTTAAAATAAAGTCTGGATAAAGCCGGTTTCAACTTTTCCGGGACTCATTATGCACGTTTGAATAAACATAGTTTCGAGAAAACTTCGTTTAAATATTTGCTTTTAAGAGTGGCTTTTGAAATTTTGGTATAATTTTCTTGGAGCACATACCTATCGATTCAGGCAATAAAAAAATCGAATTTTTGAAACGTCTTCGGGTACTTCCCAATAGTTTGTACAAATAGTTGGAAATAGAACTGAAGTTCTCTTGCATTTCTATTATATCACCATAATCGTATGGCGGCAAATAGTTGATGTGAACAATCTTTGTGCAGAGTAAATTTTATTCACTGAATCTTGCCACCTTAAAGTCATCTTTACAATATATGTACGTAGCAAAGGACAAAAGGAGTTTTAACAAGTTATGTTAGGTCTTTGTTGTCCATTAAGAAAAAAGCGCACGCACAAAGGGATTTGCAAATCTTCCCTTTGACCGACTTCTTTTCAACATTGTAATAAGCTTGTGTGCGTAAATGCACAAATTTACGTTTTGAAATCTATTGTGGCAGCAAGTTAGGACTTGGTCGAGGTAAACAGAGTTCATAGAAATGCTTATTTATGATCATTGGGCTGACCTGTTTCTTGAGGCTCATCTGCTTTGTGTTGATCAATTGTGAAGATCCCTTGGTAGCAGCGAAATGCTCATAACAAAATGTTGAAAGCTTATTCAAAGTGCAATGACCGATCGACACAGACACTAGAAACAACCCCTCAACTCGATCGAGGAACTTTTTTTTCCAGTTCACGGGGATTCAGACAACATTTAATCAGACATACAAATACAAAAAACAATAACAAAAAAAAACCGATTTGAATTGAAAACAAGCACCAAGGAAATACATTCAATTCATTATATGCCAATGCACTTCGCAAGCGTTTTTACGGCATATAAGATAATATACATATATGTATGTGTAATTGTCTACTTTTGTTGTTTGTTTATTCAGTTCACGAAGTTACAATTAAGGACGAAACTATAAGCGTCGAGCGCAAATGCATGGCAAATACGTCAGTTATCGTTTTAGATCTTCACGCAAAAATAAAATAAAAATCACTCATCGCCGAAAAGATCGCAAATAAACCAATAAATACTTGCACAATAGCGTCTACGAAATATTTCTCTTCGTTCTGCGACTACACCTGCCGTTTACAGCTTTTTGTGCTTCCACTTTTCGTAAACAAGTTTGTTTGTTATTTTGGAAATTGCATACCTGTATACGTGGGCTTACTCCATGTATATGTGTGCTTAATTTATACTTGTAAAAATCATGAAAGGGTTTATGTTTCCAAGGTCAGTGAAAAATTCTTACAAGACCCATTAGTTAAGCTGTACCTTCTGTTGCATTACAGAATTTTTAAGTAAAATCATTTACTTTATGTGCACCTGGGCGCTTTTGTAGTACATGCAAGTTCCCTCAAGCAGCCATATGTTCAAGGCAGCCCTGTAGAAAAAATTCCGAAACGACTGTTCAAGGTTTGCGAGGTATATGTGGCAGCGATGGATCTGCAAACTAAAGTTGGTAGAATGTCTGTCTTTCGCCACACCTAGACCTTTAGTAGGAACATTGTGATGAATGATCTGCAAACTAAGTAATAAACTGTTTTTGTATGTCAGTTCTATTTTTCGAAATATTTAAGAGCAATTTAATCAAGGTGACGTTATTAAGCTTTTCCTTGCCATCGATTGAGAGTATTTGAATAAGAAACATTTGAAAAACAGAATAAGTAGCTAAAATTTCTAAGTTATTTTTAAGGCTTAGTTGAGTTAATGCTTTTTTTCCATTTTCTAAATTTGCAATTGCTCTCGTACTTACTGATCTTAAGTATATATATGTTATGAATTCGAATTCGTCTCTCTTATAGAAACTAATTTTCCTCTTTTTCAGTTTTAATTTCTCTGTACCGCAGTCTAGATCTCATATACGCATATATTATCTTTCATATGATAAAACCTTTTGCGATATGTAGTTGATGATTGTTTCCCGTATTATATAACCTTATACAAAACTTTATATATATACTTTTTATACTGTACTTTAATAATATTCCACAAATTATTTAACAGCAAGTGAACTTCAAACTGTGACTTTTGAATGGCTCATTATGGTTTTTGAGATTATAAATAGAAACTTACCTATTTTCTTAAAAGAGAGTAATAAATAATAGTTCAATTTCTTTCGAAAAATTTTGTGTAAGAAAGCGATGTAGCCTAGATTAGCTGATGTATGTCCAAGAATTGTTCGGGTAAGTAAAAAATGCGAAGAAAAGTAGTTGAGAGATAATACAAAGTAAAAACCTAACATACGATAAACTTCACGTGAAAGAAGTTAAGCCAGCTAAGTAATGAACGTCATATCAAACATTTCGCCTGAGATCAAGAAAAGTAATAGTCTTACCGTCAGTACTCTAATAACTTAGCTTACTATTATACAAAATTATACAGAAACTAACGCTAGAACATTTTAAAATTAATTCTATAAAAAAAAATTATAAAAAATAAACCTAAATTTTTAATTAAATTGTTTTAAAAAAATATACAGAAACTAATTTAAGAACCTTTTAAAAATAATTTTATAAAAGAAAAAAAGTATGAGAAAATCAAGCCAAATTTATATTTCTTTCAAAATATTCTAAAAAAAAGCCTTACAATAATTAATTCATTGCTGTTTAGATTTCCTAGCGGCATGATATGCTGGAGAACGCATCTTTTACAAGATGTCAGTTTTTTTTTTTGCAGAAATGTCTACGCTTTTTTTCCCACTACTCGTAAGACTATATTACATGTATTTACGAAGTAAAATAGCATAATATGATTTCAGCGACAAAGTCTGCGTTCCGGAGTAGAATATAAAGAAGTAAAGTAGCGCCCCTTCAATTGTATTGCATCACAAGGCTGGTAGAGGCAAGGATAAAAAACAAATCTGGATGAGCAGAACCAGACTGGTGAGCAAAAAATGGCTAGCGCAGCATAAAAGTGAAAAAGGGAGACACTCGTCTATGTATGTGTGTGTGTACATGTCAACAAGGAATTGTGCAAAAGTTTATGCTGAAATGCAGTGATGTGTGCATTACACACTAGTATGTATGTGTACTTATATGTGTAGATGAATTCTTGAAGGAGAATACTTTAAGTTTTGCTGCAGATATAAATATGGGCTCAAACACAAGCATCCTCATTCAGTGTTTTGTGTTGAGTCTGAGGAGTTCGATGAAAAATATTTAAATTCAGTTTTTAGTCTTCCATCCAAATTCAATACAACTTGTGAGAATCCTGGCTGAGCAACGGCACTTCGAGAAATGATTAGTGAGCGTGTTTCTCATTTACGGTAAGTGTGGCGGTTATATAAGAAATATTATAAATTTTCGTGCACAGTTAAGTATTGAAGTGTGTAATTAATTAATTTTTGTTGATTTCAGCGAAACATATTTGCTCGGTCATGGAAGAGAAGATAGTTTTCACACTTCATACCATACTATCCATTCGGACTCATTGAACTACTTTGCCACTCATCATCGAACATTGAATCGCCAAAAATAACGTTGGAAGACCTCAAACGCAGTTTCGGCCATTGGACAAAATTGTGATTTTTCATAGTTTAGGTTCAACGAATAAAAAATACAATAGACAATATTTGGTGAATGGCTTTTGAATGTCTTGTGGGGTATATTGAGAATGTTTTATGGCCTGTTGTTGCGATTTTGCATAATTTTTTTTTGTGACTGAATACTGGACATATTAATAATTGACAAAATTTTTTTTTGCCTATTAATTGATTTATTTTCTTGAAACTATTTATAGACAAGAACGTTGACAATTAGTTTTAAAATATTTGAAATACTGCTGAGCAAACATTAAAGCATAAAATACTACTTCCCATCAAAATAAAAAAAAAACAAAAAAAATCAATGAAAATAAACACAATTAAATAATTTGTAGTACTCAAGTGCTTGATTTTTCGAAATATCATAGGCTCATACTACATCATGAAGCGATTTTCATGCCGTATATCAACTCAAAGGTAAAGTTTTTATATCCTGAACAGGGTATATTAAATTTGCCACGAAGTTTAAAACACTCAGAAGGAAACGTCGGAGAACCTATAAAATATGTAATACTTACATACATATGTTTATAAGAGATCAGCGTAACTAGCTAAGTGGATTTAGCCATGTCCGTCTGTCTGTATATACGCGAAGTTTTCGAGATAACGATCTGAAACTTTTCGCACCATCTTTTCTTCTCACGAAGCTGCTCATTTGTCGGAGACGGCGATATCGGATTACTTTGTGGTATAGTTGCTATACAAAGTGCCTGATCAAACTCAAGATAAAGCTCTTTTTGTACCCTTTTGTGCTATAAGAAGTGCACTTGTAAAGGGTATCATAGCTTTGGCGTTACCGTAGTTAACGTTTTTTTCTTTCCAAAAATAACTTTAAGCTTTTATAAAATAAAAATTATTTTGCACACTCTCATCACATGAAATGCTTGCAAGCAGTGTTTAGTTTGTAATGAGATAGTAAAAATAAGCTTTAAATTGAAATATGCACAATTTCTGTTTTGGTGATAATTTTTTGCAAAGCTATGGCCAAATCTGTGCATTTCATATGAATCTACCACAAAATGCTAAATAAGCAAATCATATTTATCAATAACACTTTTAACACACTGGCACTTAACTAGGCATTTACCGTTATGATATTATTGTCATTGCCAAAACAGTTATGCTGAGTGCTCGCGCATTGACATAACCATGAGTTGTTGGGGACAAAAGCAAAGTGGCATTGTTGCATTTCATTTCGCTTTTTGTACACATACATACATATATACATACATATATACATACATACACACATACATATATCGAAACCAAAACTATTTGGTTGATTGCTCAATTGGCTGCATTCATAAACATAATCGTTCATTGCTACTTACTTTCATTCAAACTATTCGCCGTGTTATTGTATTTGTAGCTTAAGCCGAGCTTTTTATAGAAAGAAAATTGAGCATTGTCTGGTGACGAATACACACGAACATGTCTGCAAATGTGCTTGTGCACTCCAATTACCGCTGTTTGGCCTTTCAAGGCCGTTTCAGGTTTGTCTGTGCACTTAATAAGCCTAATAAAAGTAATGAGTTGCAAGTCTTATTCTCGCATGACATTCGAACATACATAAGTATGTTGGCACGCACATTACATGTGTATATGTATGTATGCATATATATATGTATTGTTCATAGTATAAATAAATAAAGGCATGACAGGTGCACTAAAAGCGCCCGAAATGCGCGCGACATACTCTTATTTACGCGCAGTAATTAATGATCTCGCTTACTTGAAATCATTTTATAATCCAAAAAAAAAAAAAATTATTAAGCTATGAGTGTGCAGCTTTTGGGTAAAGTTTGCTCGCACGAACTCTTACCTTAAGCGGATATTGTTGAATTAATTATTAAACGCTTAGTTATGCTTTTACAATGGAAAGTTACATACATACATATATTGCTTTAAAAATGCCCGATTATACAGAATATATGATTTTTTTATTCTATTCCGAAAAAAAATTTTGAGCCTTGTAAACCATTTGCGTGATTATGGCGTTCTGCACAAAATGCTCGTTGTTAATACAATACCTCATCGCTTAACGAAACGAATTCTTAAAATTTTCATTCATGACATCACGAATTAATGTACTTTTCTGTTAAATGTACTCGAAATGTAGGTAGAGTGGCTGCCGTGCTTCTGATGAAGTTCCTCCGTACGAAAAGTTTTATCTGTGCAGCCAACGAGACGTCGTCAAGAAATCCTCGAGCGATAGTTGCGATTCTTTTCCTATATAAAGCCTTACATTCACATAGAAGATCTAGTCTCCTCCTCTTCTACCTCCTTACAATCATTATATGACGATCCCAGTCCAGTTAGGGCTCCTACTAGAGTTCATATATCATTCTTTATAAATTTCAATAGTTCGACGGTTGTGTTGGAAATTACTAAAAGTGCGATGACTCAATAAATAAATGAGACATTAAATTTTACACCTGAGATTGTGCAGAAGGGCTTCATATAAGTCGGTATCGAAATCGGACAATGACACCGCCTGCTTTTAGCTGAAATCCTATACCTGAGGAGCTACTTTACCAATATTAAGCGTAGTGGGTGGTATGGCACTATGCTGATATTCTTATGTTCCATTGTGAAATTGGGTGAAATCGGACAACAAACACGACTACTCACCTTTCCCAATTTTAAATTCTATTATTTTTATTCACTTCACAGAATATAAATGAAGCAGCAGGAATTTGTTGATATAAAACTTTGCACACATATGTAGTGCCCTATTATAGGTATATTCCATTTCGGTTCTAAAAATAGTCAAAATCCGACCACAACTTTTTTAATGCCCAAATAACGAGTATGTGGACCTCAGCTCGTATAACTTATATTTTTTCCGAAAATATCGGTAAAACTCTGAGATCTATTATTGAAATTCAAAGAGAATATTTTCTTAATAATGGTGTACCGTTGTATTAAAAAAGAGTGAAATCGGGTCCCCTTCCCCCCTTATACTTAATATAAAGATTTTCGACCTTCTCGTTGACTTTATACCGTGTATACTGGTAAAAATTTCAGCTATCTTAAAGAAATTAAGGGATCGCTATATATATTATACACTCATTTCAAGCTTACAGTTAAATTAATAGCTTAAGTCTCATATACTATATGCTCGTATAATAAGTTTCATTATTCCAACAGACTTTATGCCGAATATGTCGTTCAGTGTGTGAGTCACTTTTATAAAGTGCTTGGAACCATGCTTGAGTAATAGCAAAAGTTAATGCAATCAATTCAGATTTTTTCCTAACCCGAATATACCCGATAGAGCGATTTATGACTTTCCAACTTATTTTAAACCATTTATGTTGGTCACTATGTGTGATATATTAATGAAACGTCTAGGCTTTGCTCTAATTCTTATATCCCTAATATAATGATTTCCGATTATTTGTGTGGCCTTTTCCTCATACATACATATATCCAATATATTAAGTTTAGTCTCATCGCTTGAGTTTATATGACATATGTACGAGTATATTTCATTTGAGTTAATTAATATAAAGGTTTGCCAACACCGGAATGAGTATCCTAGGCTTTGATTTTTGAAAGCTGCATCTATGGTTAGTAGTACTTCATGAAGATCTTAAATTTTAATATTTCATTAGTAAATTTGATTTCATATTTTCAACGAAATACAAAAATTCTGATATAAGATCGATACCCCGCAAATTATTTACCAAAATTCGATTTTCATTAATTTCAATTCTTCAATGGTGTTCTTATTAAATACAAAATATGTATGTATTAAATTATTTCATCGAATCTTGATTATATCAAACATTTTGGAACGCTTTTCATAAAGTGCGTATTGGAATATTGCAAAGTGGTAAATTTAACGATGAGCTACATCGGTTGAATACGATAATTGCAATAATATTATACTATGCTCCATTAATAATCAGATAGAGTAATGCTTACAAAAGCATTGTGCGAAGATTATTCGATAGATAAAGCGAATGAAAATAGATAAATAAGAGGTGGAATCACACAACATATATTTCTCTTACGGCGAGTGGTAGGTAGTCTAATTTTTCGACACGAATCCCTTGCTTGATCAAAAATAATTTAATTATTATCCTGTCATAGTTTTCGTGCAACAAACAGAATGCACACACATATATTTACATAGCTTTATTAATATAATATATATATGTATGTGTATATACATACCTATATACAGTATATATACTATATGATATATATAAATATGATACTGTAAATGCATATGCATGTAGGTATAGAAATCTAACGGACCATTGGTCCACGGTTGCCCAAGTTAAATTGATTCCTTTTTCGATGTTTTGTTGCATTTCAGCACACCATTCAACAGGGAATTGGCGGACAAGAACAAGCATTTGTTGAAAAGTACTAAACATTTTTGACATTATTCCTCTTTTAGCCACACACACACTCGTAGCCCACATAAACCAATTTCGTTGAACACCCTTATGGGTGATCAATCTTAAATTTTCACCGCTTCTGTCAGCATTTCCAAAAGTGGAGATGTACATTCAAGTACATGAACAAGCACATAGCATAAGAGAAAAACACGCTGCTACTTTGCTGCCTGTCAAATGAATGTACGCACACACATACATACCGCACATATACATAGATTACCAGCTGGTCGAAGTGCCGAAGAAAACTACCAGCGCCGGATAGTCGGCATTCGGTTGCTTCCATGTAATGGCGACAATGTGTCCCTTAAATATACTAACGGAAAGTGTGTTCAAGCAGCGGATGCTGGAGCAGAATGCGTTAATTGCGTGACAATCACTTGCTGGTTCATGGTTTCGATTCCTGGCCAAAATAGTCATAAGCCGACCTTCGATAAGCTTCGCTAAAAAGCTTCTTAAAAAAATTCTTCTATCCTTTGAAGCCATTCAAAAGTTGTATTAACTTTGTTTTTGAAAAAAACCCAATCCTGCGGTGTCTAAAAGTACGTTTGCTTCCATTATTATCAATATAATATGTATATAAAATAGTTATAATATTCGCTTGATGAAATTTATATACTCAACGATCAATCTGGTCTGATTGCCTGGATTATTTACAGTTACATATATGGTACAAAAGTTTATAGGATGCGTTGTCTGATGTCTCAGAGTTGCTCTCATCTGATTTTCAGTATAAATACTAGATTTGAATCGCATTTCGTAAATGCAACAAAGTGTCATAGAAAATAGGGATTTACAATTTCTATTTCGTTCATTTGTCCTAGAAATTCGAAATGTGCAAAGCACTTCTGAGTAGCTGTTTTTGAAAAAGTGGTAATTACATATTTCTGTTCTGTAAAAATTCATAGAAATCACAGTTATGTAAAATATTCCATTTCAATTCAAATCATGTCCTATAAACGAAATATCACCTAATTCCAAGATAATTTTCTGTAAGAAGAAAGAAAAACTATGGTGAAATTAAATTTTTTTTTTTTGATAAATTTAAAAAATATTTTCTAAATTTAAAAAAAAAAAATGCTTGGGAAAGACGTAGGCACCATTTATACCGCATTTTGTAAATATGGATAGTATTTTAAGTGATAAGTCCTTTGTTTTTGACCAAAATACATATGTTCAAAGTTGTATCAAATACATCGAAACAAATAACATAAAAAAACTACTATTTTCAATATATAATATATTTTAGAGAATACTGTCAAAAATTTCAAGTCATTGAACTTGTGTTTCGTGTAAACTTATAAATATTGATGAATTTTATTTTTAAGAACCATAAGTAGCCTTTTAGTGAAAATATCATATATGATTCTAAAAAATGTAGGTTGATGCAATCATAGTATAGGAAACTGTGAATTATCATAAATCAGTCCAAATACCAGCATTTACTTAAGCGGTCGGTCGGAATTCAACTCTGCTCGCCATCTTGATAAATTTGATATAGGTATGTACTCTCTATATCTACCACGGATGGTTGTAGATGTTATAAACAACCGTTAGATAAACAGAAAAAAATGCTGATCGATTTTGATGTATCCAAAACGTGATAAACCTAACCTAGGCATTTGAAAAAGAAACCGCGTTTTCACAATAGTAACCTTGCTTATGTGTTATATACTTTTGTTTGTACGAATATATCCGACTTTTGGCCAAATAATCGTCATTTGCGGGAAGTGTTGATTTTTTTCATTCGGTATAAAAGAATCGGCGGCTAAAGCACATCGGGAACTTCAAAAAGTTTACAAAGGTGCTGCCCCAAGTGAAACAACGTGCCGTGATTGGTTTTATCGCTTCCAGGACGGCGATTTCGATATTAACGACCGTCCGCGTTAAGGAAGGCCATAAACCTTCGAAGACGTTATATTGGAGACGCTGCGCAATGAGGATCCACCCGTCAAGCCATTTCAAAGCGACTACATGCGCTGGAAGCAAACCAAAAAAAACGGGATTCTGCTGCATGACAACGCTCGGCCTCACATTGCCTAATCCATTAAAACCTATCTGGAAAGGATTAAATGGAAAGTCCTACCCCACATGCAATATTCCTCGGAGATTGCACCGTCCGATTATTATTTGCTCAGGTCGATGTCACATCGTCTGGTTCAGAAGCAGTTCCACTCACAAGACGACGATGGCTTAATTCTTGCTTAGCCTCACAGAGATGAACAGTTTTACTATAATGGTATTCGAGCTTTGCCAGAAAGATGGGAAAAAGTTGTGTCTACCGATGGGCAATAACTTCGAATAACTTTGTATGCGAGAATTTAGTTGCGCACCAATATAATGTATATTTTTTTAAACAATAAAACCAAATAAAATTAAATATCGAAAGGGTTTAAAATTTAATCTCTCAATTTCTGTATAAAATCCGGTGAAAGAAAAAAAAGTCGTTTAAAATGTATGAGTTCCTGAAAAATATACAGTACATACATAGATATGCGTATGTATATGTATGTCTCTATTTCATTCTGCAATGTCTCAATTCGTACTTTGCGAAAACTTATAGTATATTGAAAAGTATTTGAAGGCTCCCCGCAGTTGGCTCAAATTGGAAGACTTGAGTTCTAAGCGTACCGTGTTTACAATTCTGTGTCCAGCCACGAGGCTACTAGATTTCAACAGGATTAAACACACACAAGTATGTACATATATTGACGCATGTGCAAATACAATGTACCCGTACACATTAGTATGTATGTATGTATGTGTATGTGGCACAGGATGTATAAACGCCGTTCCATGTACACATATGCACATGCATAGAATATCGGAAGAAAGGCACTGCGAGATATGCATTCACAGGCGTTGACATTAAAATCATCCATCTTTTAGCTGTCAGTCAAAATTTTCGGCGAAAAGGACGGAAATTTGTTTTTCTTCTCAATGGCATTTTCACTCTTTCTTCTTTGTTTAGTTTTTTTTTACCCATGGATATTTTCGAACGGTAGTAGATTTGTTGCTATTATCATTTCGTTTGTTGTTGCGTCAGTGTGGCGTGCGAATGGAATATTTGTAAGTTTTCTACTGGCACGCAATCGTACTTACATATATACACACATTTATGTGTATATATATTATATAATATATGTTCTTGTATTAATCATTAAAGTGTAGAAAACAAAATTGCTAATAAAGTTATTTAATTTGTGTGAGATTGCGTGCCAAAACTTATAAATATTATACACGAAGTTTCTAAAGAATATAACTGTATAAAAATATGTGAGTATTGTAAGGCTATTAATGATTACGATTTTTGTTGTTAAACTGAAGTATTGGCTATAATTAAATTTTGCACGTTTACGTTTATTAACTGTTTCATAGCAGTTCATTTTAGCTTTGTTTTTGTTTTTTGTTTTTAATTACATTTAATTGTAAAATACTTATTTATATATTTGCTCTTAATTACCTTTAATAATTACATTTATACTTAATATTTGAAAAACATATCGCATCGCATTTGTTGTTTTTTTTTTTTTGTTTTATATTTTTTTTTCGCAATTCATTACAAACATATCTACAATTTATTTATTACAATATTTCACATACAAAATTGCACTGGAATCGGAACGGTTTCAGCTTGGAATTTTTTTTTTTTTGCCATATTAAGCAAAATTATATATAATACAATTAAAAATTTAACTTTAAAACTAAAAACAAACAACAAAAATCTATAGTATATTATTGCTAAATATTTATTTTGAATAATTTATTATCAATCGTTATTGATTTTAGGCAAAAAGTGTCGCAAACAACTTCGATTTCTAATCAACAAAAATACAACTATTAGAAAAGCTACGGTTTTTATAGAATTGTCTGCATTTCTTAATCATTTACGCTACTAATTATTTTTCTATACGGCGCACATTATTCATATTCATAAACTTATATACTATATACAGCTTGTTTTATTTATCTAGATATTATCATTGGGGCTTAATATTGTTAATTTCTGAAAAAAAAACAAATTAAAAAATTATAATTGTATATATTGTATGTACATTTATATATACATATGTATGTGTGAATGTACCATTGTTAATATCATTCCATATTATAGTGTGTGCCTGATTTTATTAGAAAGATTTTTTTCGTATTTCTGAATTAGCAGATCTATAGGCAATAAGAACGCGCATAATCGTGTTATCATAATAAAATTCAACTAGTTTGCTGCTAACCTCACATGTTGCTAATTTCCATGAGATTTTAGAACCCTTCCATCGAACGCCTAACATTCATGCTAATAATAAATGTTATTTTTTACAGTTATTTTTAAAGACTTTTGAACAACATTTTCTTGTAGAATAAATTTCGGAAAGACTCTCATACATCTGTGAAAATCCTGCTCTGCGGAATCATGCTGCACAGTGAATAATTAGTTAAGTCTTCAACAAAATTAGCAGTGTAAAAGATTTTTTTTTATCACATTGATCTGCAATATGGTATACTGTAAGCCTACGTTAGTTGTAGTGATATTTGTATGAAAAAGCAAATGTGTGCAGCATGTAGCAAAAGCTCTTGTAAATAAGGAAATGTGACTCACTAGCTAAAAAAAAATATATGTAAATGTGTATGTTGGGTAAGCCCAAAAACTAACATATCGAACTTATGTGTTAAAATGAACTTTATGCAGAAAAAAATAGCTGCAAGGCAGGATTTTAAGCTTAATTTTAAAAGGTGTCGGTAAGCATTCAAAGTTTCCGCTATAAATAACACCTAAAAACATTTTTTTCCTATAAAAATTAAATTTTTTTTGAACCGTTTGGTATCCAATTTATTATATCTCCCATATTTGTAGATCAAAAAGTTTTTTAAAAAAGCTCACTCAGGAGAATTTTATATTAATTTTAACGCATAAAATCGATAGTTTAGTTGTTTTTTTGAGCACCCATCAATATGTATGCAATACACCCATACACATGTACACATTAAAATCTTTACATGATTTTCAAAAGTACATTCATACGTATGTACATACAAACATTATCCATATAATGATTTTTATTAAATTTATATACATATATATATATACTATATACAGCTATAGAACTAGTAGCATATCTTAACACTAACAACAATTGCTGAACAGTTATTTATTTCTTTGTGATTTTCATTTTCATTTGAGCAAACAAACTAAACTATGCTAATTAGCATAATTAACATTTCACAGGATTACTTCTCTAATTAGCGCTTACGTAGTATATACAACAGTTTAAAGATGCATACATACATATATCAACTTTACATGATTTTGAATTTTAAGCTTGATACGGTTGATACTTGGTCTACTGTCAACTATTGTACATATCTACAGATATTTTTATAAAGGGTTTTTTTTTTATTTTAAGGTTAACAAGAAGCGAAACAAATATATTTTCAAATAAGAAATTAAGTAAAAATTCCGAAGTAATGACTATTAAGTTCAACTGGGTTAAATTATAACTAATTTTAGAAAACATTTGAAAATTTTAATCCAATTGGAAAAGAAAATAACTCGTTTAAAAATGCAATGAAACAGACAAAAAGAACATAACTAGAAAATCATTTTTACAATATAACTATGTACATATGTAAGTACATAAATGGCTATGTGCACATAAAATAAGTTTGGATACACGTACAACACATCAAAATAAAACACCAGAGAAAAAGATATTTTTCAAACCAAAAAATAAATCAAAGAGTACTGTAAACACCTTTTAGCTGTCTTAGATGAACTAACTCAGCTGGTAGTACTCGGGCGCAAAATCATTTGCCAGATTGCTGAGGAAGTTGAAGTCTGATGAGCTGTTTGAATTCTCCATGCCGGTTAGATTCCCACCAGCCGCAGTGACGGCTGCACCATTGCCCGTCATCGGATAAGCGGGAGCATTTGCCGGCGAACCACCATTCATAGCAAAGTTATTTGCGCCGATATTTATATGACCGCTCGGTGGCTGGTGATGTGGGTGGGGATGCGTTGGATGGTGGTGGGTTTGTGGATGGTGTGGTGGCATGGCTGGTTGCGGCTGCAGCTGCGGTTGACCATTCTCGTAAAAATTGGCAAAGTTGCCGTAGCTGCCATCACAGTTCTCCATTTGTACGCCCAGAGCGCTGGCATTGGGTGGCATGTACACATCTGCTGACGTCACTGCCGGTGCAGCGGCGGCGCCAATTTTCATATGCGGCGTGCCATCCACCATGAACTCGGCAGGTATGCCACCAATGTGCTGTTGGTGTTGTTGCTGTTGCAGTTGTTGAACATCGTGTGCTTGTTGGTGTTGGTGAAAGTCGGGATGAATTTGTTGTTGGTGCTGTTGCTGTTGGAAATTCAAGTGTTCATAATACGCAGCGGCTTGTGATTTGGTTTCATAGTAATTGCCGGCCGCGTTAAGAGATGTCGCCTCGAACTCAGCACCACCATGATGGTGTGGATGCATGTACACACCACCATTGTCCATCGTGTGGTGATTATAGTTCATGTACTGGCCAGCGGCACCTGGCGGCATTGGCTCGCCACCATGATTGTAGAAAACCTGCTGGTGTGTTGGTGGCTGTGGTTGGTGGTGAGTTTGCGCGTGTTGGAATGTATTAACGGCTGTTGTCTTGGCTGCTTGGAATTCATGTTGACGTTTCGCATTGTGCATGTCTGGTGAGAGTTTACTAATGAAGTCCGGTTTAGAGCTTGGATATTCACCATTCGGTTGGTGTTGCAGTGGGTTGTTGTTTGGCATTTGCTGCAGCTTGTGGTGTGTTGGCATTGGCAACGTCCCTTGCGGCCCGTGTTGCGGCGAGGCTGTGCCGGCGAATTCAATGTCGTACTTGCCGTAGTAGTCGTGCGGCGATTGTATCTGCGCTGACGGCAGCTGCGACTGTGGTGGCGGCGCTTGCAGTTGCGACTGCTGCGCATGGTGTAAATGTGGTCGTTGGTCGTGTTGGTTATGTTTCGGATAATAGCCACCGTGGAAGTATGCGGCCATGCCAGCTCGCCCACTGCCCTCATTGTTTGCCGCATTCGTGTTGTTGCCATTTTGGAAACGTTTTCTGCGCGTACCGCCTTCGGTGTTGGGGCCACAGTTTGAATTCACCGCCGATTGTGCGCCGTGTGGCACGGTGTCTGCGTTCCGACGGAAGCCACCGCCACCAGACAGCATAGCCGCGGCGTTGCTAGTAATGTTGTGGCTACCACCATTTCCAACCGGTGAATCATAGGGGAACGGCGAAGCTTTGGAGGATGTCGAAACGGCCTCATTTTTGACAATCTAATCAATGCGTAAGCAAAAGCATTAACTAGTGAAAGTAACTACAATTTATTTTCGGCACTTACTTGACTGTCATCTTTTTTCTTGACTTTGATGGGACTGTCATCAATTTCTTCGTCGAGACTGACGCTGGAAGCCACACTGGAGTCGGCGCTGATCATGTTCGACGCGGAGACAGTTGAGCTACCAAGTAGATTTGAAGAAATACCCGATTCCAAGGTCGAGTTCGGCGTCACTTAAAATTGGAGGATACGAAAATTTAAAATATTTTTTAAATCCATTGAATTGCGCTTCCTCAGAGTTTTACTTACAACTTCCTGCGCTCGCATTGTTATTAGTCGCACTGGGTGTGTTGTTGTTGTGCCCCCGTGAATTCGAGGTGGAATCTGGTATATCATCCGACGGCAGCTCACAGCCTTGACAAGATTTCTTCGAGTTGGAGTCTGTAAGGGTTAAGAGGGGAAATGTTAATTGATAAAAAAAGTAAATAAATACCAGCGAGAGTAAATGAATGCGGGGAATGAAGGGAGCTTATGAAATGAAAATTCAATTACTATTCAGATTAACATGTTGCAATTGTTGAGGGAGGCGCGGAGAACCTTTGCTCGATAGCTATTTTTGATATTCGATTTATATCCATAATAATAAATATTTAAATCCATTTTTTAAGGGTCGATTCGATTAGAATATTCTTGACTTTTTTTAATATTTTGATCGAGCATTTTTTCTTTAACTTTCTAAAGATCTTTCTGATTTTTAATAGTTATACTGTTATTCAGAGCGCCGTTGAATTTATTAAATCAAAGATCACAAAATCGGTTGAGGTCGACGCAAAAAAACTTCATGGGCGGAATTTCCATTTGCGAATCGCTGCTGAATCGCAACAAAATCGATTAACTGCTGAAGGGCAAGTGGTTTACTTACAGCAATGCCAAGCAAAATCGGTGATCATCTAAACGCGATAAGCAGCAGAAACGGTGGCCAAGCCAGAATTGACGGTCAGGAAGGTTTTGCTTTGTGTTTGGTGGGTTTGGCAGAGAATCATCTACATACAATGAGTTGCTTCCAAACTCGTTTTTCGGACCTGTACTGTCAATAAACGAAAAATAATCGCTTGGAAAAAGCCAGTTCGGGGCAATAGGAGAGGAAGTGTGTTCCATCAGGACAACGCCAGACAACACACATCAATAGTGACTCGCCACAAGCAAGTTTTTATGCATTCACCTTATAGTCCCGACCTGGCACTAAGTGAGTACTAGCTGTTCTTGACTATGGCAAATAATTTTACTCGTGAAAAATTTGCCTTAAGTGAAGCTTGTGAAAATCGAATATACCATTTAAAGCCGATTGATGGAATTAATTTATTTTTGCAAGACTTATTATGATATTAAGTTCAAAATTTTAGTCACTTTTAAAAAGTATGCTTGGATGATTACTTTTTTTTAACTTTAAGCAAATATGAAATAATTTCTAGTTTGCTGTGTCATCCTACCATCTGATTTCATGATCATAAAGAAATCAATTATAGCATTTCTGTCGATAATAATATCTTTGAAGTATATGATGAACTCTTCCAAACACCTACAGTCCACCCTGTATTTAAAGTCTTACATGTTTTTAGAAGAAGTTCTGAGAGTGTGCTTGTTTCATTTTCATTAAAAGGGTTGTAATGTACGTAGCCCGCAGAAAACATCTCCCCAAATGTGATGAAATGAACCGCAGCAGTGAAGTGTCAACGGTACAGCAAAGAAGATGCGAAGCCAATGACAATGATTGATAAGATTATCCATTTCGCCGATTTCGTTACAAGTTGTTGAAGTACCTCTATACATATGTGCATAAATACCTTGTGATAGCATAAAATCTAATTTAATGTAACGGTTTCGCTTAAAATAATTTTTCTATGGTATGTGCTGTCTCAACTGATAAGTGTGCTTTATGAAAATGTATATTTTTATCATGCTAGAAATAGGTACATGTTTATGTATGGGTTTGTGCATAAATGCTCGGTACACTAAAGTGCGAAACTAAGTGAAGAACCAATTATCCAAAAGAGAAATTAAGGATAAAGCACTTACTACTATCAGACTGATCATCATCACCTTTTAGACTGTCTTTGTTGTCTTCATCGTCCGTCTTCGATAAAGTTTGACGCTTATGCTTCATTCGTCTATTTTGAAACCACACCTTGACCTGTAAAAAGAAAATTCATATGGATCTAACATTGCAAAAGATTAAGTGGAAATGCGTTTACCTGTCGCTCGGTCAGATCTAAGCTTGCTGCAATTTCGATTCGTCGCGGCCTACACAGATACTTGTTGAAATGAAACTCCTTTTCGAGTTCCAACAGCTGTGTGTTGGTGTAGGCAGTACGCAGGCGCCGGGGGAGACCATTTTCTGGAACGAATTCAGCTGCAATTGAAAATTGCATTTCCTTGATACTTGAGTAAATGTGATTTTGAATTGAGTGTGTTTTCTTATTAAAGTACATAGGGCTTTAGACTAATTTGCATTCGTTTTGTGTGAAATCATAATATTATATAAAATCATTTTTACTGAAAAGATTTTATAAGCCATATCTAATTGCATAGTTGTGTTGGGTTTTGAGACAATACTCAAGAGGCTTATGACATTACTTAAGGTGTCGACATTTTTTTGTTGCTTAGAGTATGCTTTATGGTGGAAGGTGTTGAGGAGGACTCGTTCGTTCATAGTCAGCTTCAGCATGTAAAGCTTTAAATGCGTTTTTTCTTGAAACAGCATTTTTCAAATCGAGCGACGTTGATACTCGGAGACTATCGTACGTATACACTTGAAATTTGAACTGTAGTTTCAGAGTAAAATTTTCTAGTAAACTACGTACTATTCTATTGTTATTACTACAATTTACATGACACTCGTAAAATGTTTAATAAAAATTGGAACTTTGTTTATAAGTCAGCCATTTTGCGAAATTTGTGTGAAACTAAAAATGTACGTACTTTACTTGCTAGTCTTATGTCGATGAAAGGCCCGGTAGGTAGCTAACGTTTTTGAAAATTTCCACTTAATTTTACATATATCTTTGTACAAAGCTACTGAAGAAATTTCAAATAAAGTTGTTAAGTAAGTTGTGGGAATAAGTAAGCATCGCACAACTCGCAATGGAAAGTAATTAAAAAAAGTCTAATCAATCAATCAAAAAACGGCAAACAAGTGCCAAGTCGAGCCGCGTACGCAACGTAGCTTTATGGGCTGTTGAAACATTTTGGGAAGAATGTTTGACAAATTTTAAGGTTACATAATGACAAACCTCATTTCCAGCTTTAAAAGTAAGTGAAATAATCAATATTCCATTGAGGAGAAGACAACGAAGCTGGCTCTGCAAATTGTAAGAAGTATTATATTACTTTGGATGTGTACAAATGTAGGAGCAAATATCTTAAATTACAAAAAAAAAATGCTTTGAATTATTGAATGATGCCAAATGAACTTCTTCATCAAAAGAGCGGATACCATAAACCATAGTTGGCAGTTTTAGTGTTGTTGCACTCGTTCACAGCCGATATGCCGCAAGTGTCCCTTGTAGCCGGAATTCGTTTGAAGCACATAAATAGTTGCCAACAAGCTTGAAGTCATCAAGTGCGGAAAGTATAGATGCACACAGTTGCATTTGCAAACCCAAACACACACACTTATATAAATATGGAGCGCCTACTTATATGCTAAGCAAAGCAGCAGCAGCAGCACCCTTCTAACAGACACACACAGATACAAAACCAAAAAGGCAAAGTGCACAAAAGCAGAAAATATGATTTCCTTTTTGGCGACGAGTGAAAAGATAATTTTCTAAATATGCCTTCGAGCAGCAGAGCACGTCGCATGAGCGCATGAAGCTTGAGTTTTGTAAAGCAGAGAATGCATAACCTGAAAGGAAGTACATATTTTCCGGCACAAAAGCAAGCATTCACCTGACATGCTGCAAAATTAGAGGTGGAGTGTGGTGCGGCACAGTTCTCGATAGTTGGAAGTTGGGTGGGGAAATCGAAAAATAAATGATTTGTATGGCAACACTGCAACACTGTAGATTTGTTGTCAAACGTTCTTGTTGAATGTACATACATGCATGCACATATACAAACATATATATCTACATATGTACTATACTTTTGCAGAGATTTAGCGTTTACTTTCGGTGTTGACCTAACGAGGTTTGACGATGGAAAATGAAGCAAATAAATTTCAAATGTCAATGCAATATTTACTGCGCAGTATTCAAGCACATCGTTTCTGGATAATTGCAAGTGAAACACAGGCAATAATGTAAGCTATTACTTACTTAAATGTATATGCATACATATATGTACTTAAATAAAATAAGAAAGTAAATGAAAATCCCAGAGGCAATACTTTTCTGAACTAATAGGAAATATGTTTATGGTTCAAAAACCCATTATCATTCTATCAATGTTTATATAGTGGGAAGGGTTCTTCTAAACCTCTGCAACAAGAAACAGAACAGTGTGATCAGTTCAAACCAAATCAACTAGGGGAATAATGGACCAATGTAAATATGTATATAAAGTACCTTATGTAAAACAAAGCTTTTATTTGGATAATTATTTATATGTATTTCTTAGTTAAGATAAGAATGGAGTTTCTTTGAGCTTAATAAAATATATGTATACATTTATTTTATTGATGATCGACTCTCTCAGCTTTGATTCAGCACTGAGTGATTGAAATTTTTAATTGTACTCCCCAAATCTGAACCTGGGCTTGTAGCTAAAACCTATAATATTATATATACAGCGTTTACCAGTAGTGATGACGCGACTTTAGCAACTCGTGGCGGCCATGTTTGTTTACAGATTTGTGTCAAATTTTGTCAGTGTGTACAGTAAGGTTTGCCAATTCAACATGTTATTTTGGTACAACGCTTGGAAAATTATTCAAAATTATTAAACAACTTCAGGTACTCCGAAAAATTTACAAATTTAAGCTTATCGAAAAATCATCTTCTCAGATGCGGCTCATTGCTGGCTTAATGGCTTCGTCAACGAACAAAATTGTCAAGAAACGCAATTTGTATTTTTAAAAATTTACCGTTTGTTGCGGATTGTGCAATGGCGGATTGTGAAATGCCAGCGATGCTCGAGGAGCTCGAAGACATCGAACGGATGGAGATATGCGAACTGAACCGTGGTGACCATTTGGCCGAAATTTTATTATATTATATAATAAAAATATTAAAAAAAAACATAACTCATTTAGACCAAATTTGAGTGCTCTATTTTATTTTAACATCACGTCGTTCTTGTTGGTAGACCCTGTATTATATAGAGTATGTTACTATAAAAAAAAACAAGTTTTCGTCTAAAAATTATTTATAAGATTATTAACCAAAATTTTATTATTTGGAAGTTTAATATTTCTTATCAAAATAAAAATGGTAGAAAAAATAGTTTATATAAGAAACGAATATGCATTTAATAAGCTACAGTATTGTGTTGGAAAATTTCAATTCATTCATAATTGAGTCATATCTAATATACATACGAGTATAAGGTCTAGAAGAAAGAAATGCATTATATTTCAAATAGATGGCTTTTGCCATCTACATGTCGATTTGTATAAGAGTAATTGGGTTACGTTATATGGCATTAGAAAGATAAAGAATTTCTCAAATTTTCTCTGAGTCAAGCAAGGCTGTTTGAGTAATCGTCAAAGATAAATACCAGCAAAGAGACAATTCCCCTAATTCTAAAGTTTTTCTGCGATAGAAAGCGAAACGCCAGACAAGCGGCTAAAAATGTGAATAGTGTTTATGGTCTTAATACGGTAACAGAAGCTCGTAGCTGTTGACTCGCACCAAATTGGATCCAATTCTGAAGCGGATGGTTGCTGGTAATGAAGAGAGTGTCACTCCAAGCCGGGATAGAATTTTTTGCTATGAACCATGTATATGTACATAAATGATCTTGAATCCTAAATCCACACTCACATCTGCTAAAAAAGTCCTACTGGGTATTTTGAACAATGAGACACTAATTCACATGTTAACACTTGTGCTTAGTTGCTGGAAACCCTTTTTTTTATCTACATAACAGTATTTTGCACTTATTAAAAAGCACCCAAAAATAATTTACGACTAAATTTGAATAAACGTGGCGTTCGGTAGTTATTTAATTCTTTTTGTAGCTGCGTTAAACATACCATATACTTGACCATTAACCCAAGCGCACTTTCTAGCCAACACCTCTTGACTATAAGTGCAAGTTTAGCATTAAATGCAAAAGCCTGTAAGGAGTATGAACCTTGTATGACAAAAACGAAGAGCAGAAAGCTTGGTAAAAGCTCGCTGCAAACAATTGAATTGCACGCAAATGCACACACAACCTCACATAAAGCAAACTCGTAGCGCCGGTCAACGTTACCTGCATGTTTGCAGATGCCCAGCACCATCTTCGAGGGCCTGATTTTAATATCAGCCGCAATTCTGTTAACGCGCATTGCTAACTACATGTGGGTATATACGAGGCTTGCAACAGCAGGAGGCGATTAAAGTTGCAGGCAACGCCACAAAAAGGACCCGGGATGATCACATTAAGGACATGTGCGGAAAATTAGCGTGTGTGTGCGTGTAGTCAGCGGTCAGCGGTCAGCGAAATGGTGGCGTCCCATGCGAGACTGACTACTGCAACAGACTGAACTAACCTAAATCTACTACACTTGCGTTTGGGTATTTGCTGGTGTGAGCTAACAAAGCGGACACTTTGCAGTTGTAACAGTGTCAAAGTAGTAGCCACACCTTGAACATAGAAGATATGACCCCAATTTATCTTCCGAATTTTTTTTGCTCAACTTACCATTAAGAGTTTTCGAAAAACCCCAGCAGTGTTGATAAAATATCTAAGTATGAGTGTGTGTGTGGGTGTGTGTGTGTGTATGTGAGCACACGTGTGTTGCTTCATAGCTTGTTGGTGATTGTGCGGCAGTCTGTCCACTCTTTGCCAACGTTGTGCCACAGATGAGGGAAATTTGTTGTTGTGGCTTAAATTATGCTTAACTTTGTGGTTTTCAAGAATAACTTGGTTGCCAATAATTTAGGTGATGACAGACGGCCCAACAAATAAACCGTAAAGGCATACTCCTCTAAAATAAAGCATTTCCTTAGAAAATTTAAGCTGCGTCGTGGATTGAATGAAATTTTGCGAATTAAATTTATTTAAAAATAAAAAAACATGGTTTGTTTCAACAAGCAGAACACAGCCACAGCCGAATACTGTTAGCTTTGATTGACGGTTGATCAAAATATTAAAATCAATTCCAAACCAACTGATGCAAGTGAAGAAACAGGAATAAGGAAATACAAATAACAAATTCAAAATCGATTGAAAAATCTGTGAAAAAAAGAGATGGAGAACAAGGAA